CAATTGAATAAAGCAGTTTAATTTTAATTAAATTACAAAAATAAGAAATTGTAAATAACTTTTGACATGCGAGACATAAATTACACATGCCAGATAAAATCATCAAAATGTCAAAAAAGATCATTTATGGTCGAAGGGAAAGAGGACATGTGTCAAACAAGTCAGCGAGCCTGACCATCTGATCCCGTTAGTCGCCTCTTACGACAAGCAAGGGTTACTGAAGATCAATTCTAACCCGGATCTTCACGGGTCCCTTTGATATGAAAAATATATTTCTGATAAATCGTAAATCGTGATCAATGCAAACAATTACCGTACGTTCAGGCAAACGATAACACAAAGATATTTTATAACAAACATGAAACCCATCTCCGGGTTATACGAAGTTGACTAGCACGTATAATCAGTCATAACACACGTTATTCCGTGGGACCAGTTCCCCAAAGAGGTCCTTAAGTACTCACGAAATAAAAATAAAATGTTTTTTGGCGTTTATTTGGTTAATACTTCATTAAAATAGGTAGTTTTAACAAATATTAAAATAGCTATGATTTTCCCAACTAGGTCTTTTTATTTGGTCATCTAATCATTATCCAAAATACCATTTTACAGGTATCAACAAATTTAGAAACATGTTATAACTTACCTCACAATTAACAATGGGTGGCAACAACTACCTGCAGCACTGTTTAGACGCATTTGCACGTGCGTTGCTATAGCGACTGTACAATAGACAATCAAAACTATGAGTGTGTGTGTGTGTGTGTGTGTGTGTGTGAGTTTAGTTTTACGCCGCACTCAGCAATATTTCAGCTATATGGCGGCGGTCTGTAAATAATCGAGTCTGGACCAGACAATCCAGTGATCAACAGCATGAGCATCGATTTGCACAAATGGAAACCGATGACATGTGTCAACCAAGTCAGCGAGCCTGACCACCCGATCCCGTTAGTCGCCTCTTACCACAAGCATACACACATGGGTTACTGAAGGTTCATTCTAACCCGGACCTTCACGGGTACTATGAATGTACACGTAACAAAAGTAAACTTTCAACATGAGTACAGGCATTAACAATGTAATGAGAAAATCTCTAAATCAATTATTTGGTATATCAATTAGGATGAAAGACTGACTGACTGACTGACTGAGTTTGGTTTTACGCCGCGTTTAGCAATATTCCAGCAAAATCACGACAGGGGACACCAGAAATGGGCTTCACACAATGTATCCATGTGGGGATTCGAACCCGGGTTTCGGCGTGACGAGCCAACGCTTTTACCACTAGGCTACCCCACCGCCCCTAGGATGAAAGAAATAAAGGATGAATGGTATATGACTTTTTAGTCAAAAGTATATTATGTAGGCGAACCTATGGAGATAACATCTCATTTGCATACTGCAGCTTGCATCTGAAACGTACATTTTGACTTTGATGAAATTTCAAGGGGTAAAATTGCTCTCCTGTATACTTATCTATTTCGGATGATTTTACAAAAAGTATTGAAAAAAAAGTTGGGAAAAACGAGTCAAAGAATATTTAACAGTCAAACTTAAGTTGTGTTCAAAACTACAAAATAAACGCGAAATCCATTTTATTTTATTTCCGTAAGTACTATAGTGTTTCGGTTCGATAAGTATCTCTAGGACAAGTTCTCGATTTTCCAGCCTAACACATCTGCATTAGATATCATATTATGTTTTGTCATAATAAAAAGGAGGTATAACAAACTGGATAAAGAGGGCATGTACGGAACTAACCATGCATTTCAGAGGTGTAATAGATGTTGTTGTTTTTGTGAACAGGACAACCTATTTTAGATATGAGGTACTGGATTTAAAGAGCCCTGGAATTCGTCACATCTTGAGTGGACTGGAGAATATCATAAAGACACAAGACTTCAAGCGCAGGTTCTTCTTATGACACATTGACATATCAAGTTTTTACAGGCCTGTTCCACGTGCTTTCCGTGCTAATTGTGACATACTGGGCGTTTCAAGGGTTGGTATAGTTCATGGGAAGCCTGCTGCATGCATAGTGTGACAAATTCGTTCTCACTTGAAAACGATACAAGAACCAGGGCCTAGATTTTCGAAGCTCTCTTAGCGCTAATATAGTAGTAAGTTAATGTTATTGTATGACACTTACGACTATCTTAGCGCTAAGAGAGCTCCGAAAATCTAGGCCCAAAATCGAAACGTCGTGCTCTAGAATAGAAGAAGTTGTCATCCATATATACTTGTTCTATCGTGAACAGTTTCTTGTCGGAAGCTGTTCGAAAGTTTGGTGCCTTCGAAAGTTTGGTGCCCCACAAATCTAAATTCTTTGATTTTGTGCAAAAAGTACCATTTAATCCTGATATATAACCTGACATTCACGCCTTTATAGCGCCAGTATACCTCAAAGGACTAGTATACATATCAACAAGATGGCCGACTTTCTGCACTCATGTTTGTTGTTGTTTCAGGGCATTTACTCAACATTAACAGAGATTGCAACAATAAGAATTGTTATAACACCTTGTACAATGAAAATGTAACAAAATAAACAATAAATTTAAAAAAAAATTGAAATCATCAAAATAAAAGAACAATTTAACAATATGCCCAGATGTGCCTGAGCGTTTCTCAAACAATTGACAACCAGGTCACATATTAAACAAAAGATAAGGGCGTCAAAACCTGCTAAGCTAATAGTTCTGCATTAAAAGTTACTTGGAATTAATAACACCCCTTCTACAGTTCTGTTTTCTGTTTAAAAACAATCTTTATTTAACACAAGAAAACTCTGCCTGTCATGAATATTTGGTGTCATTAGGAGTGCTTATTGAAAGCACTTACAGATTGCTTGTAAATTTCAAGACAGCACTGGACATAATTTAAGTCATAAAACTAAATAACAGGCTATAGGAAAAAGCAGGGTGATAAAATTCATGAAATTCCAAATTTGAGAAACCCAATCATGGACTTTTTCAGGTTTGAGACACAAATGACCACAGATAGAGGGCTAAGATGATCAAGATGAATTTTGGATTCAAACAGATCAGTTGTCACAAGGGAGGCAACTCTGCAGAGGCTGCTGCTATGGAGTGAACCACTGGGCTACGCTTTCCCCTACAGATGTACAACCAGATTCACATGACACACAAGTATGATGCATTTGAAGAAGAAATGATGAAGAAATGAAACATTGTCTCTATCTGTATTGCCTTCAAGCTTTGGAACTTTGAGTTAACAACCGTTTGTAATATTTGTTTGTTTTCTTTGTTCATTTGTTGATTAACGCCGCACTCAGCAATATTCCAGCTATATGGTGGCGGTCTGTAAATATTCAACTCTGGACCAGACAATCCAGTGATCAACAGCATGAGCATCGATCTAGGCAGTTGGGATACGATGACATGTTTCAATCAAGTCAGAGAGCCTGACCACCCAATTGTTAGTCACCTTTTAAGACAAGCATGGGTAGGAAGACCAATTCTAACCTGGATCTTTTGTATAACATAGAAATATGATCCCATACGGATAACGACAAATATATAAATTCTTTGATACAATAATGAAATAGCATTATTCTTTAAAAATATCATTTACAAGTGATTTGCAACAAGGAAATATATATATGCGTAATTGAGTACAGATATACTCAAAATTGCAAACATCAGGATACTCAAAATGTCTACATGATATTCAGCAGATATGTGCCGTTCTCATAAATAAGCAATATTGCAGTGAGTTTAGTTAAAAAAGAAACACACAACAGATATGTAAAGGGGCATGCTGGTTTTCAGTGAAAACACAAGTAAAGTTGGAATAAAATAATACAATTATATAAATTTGAAAGGATTCCATATACAAGAGACGTAACTCTGTAACTTGATCTTCATGTCCTTATCAACACATTTCTTTCCCTATAACTGATGTCCAACCAATCTCACTTTCGCTGATTCCATTGGATCTCCTTCAGGCTCCTCATGTGGACGCGAGTGTCTATCACCATAGCACAGCCCAGTTTCCATTCTTGCCATTTCAAGCCTACTTTCATGTGCTAAAACCTGGGAGGACTATACTACATTTTGTCATATTTTAAATTTTGCCACCAGGCCTGATGAAGTTACAATGAAGTTGTTTCAAAATTCAAATGAAGACAAATATATTTTGACATGGCTCCAAGTTTTCAATCACCTCTCATAAATACCTTTATATATTTCAGAGCAAACTTTGAATCTCATACACTGAACACTGAATGCATTAAAGCAATTAAGATGCTGTTCTATTTTTAGATGACCCCTGCTGAGAGTTTCATGTTACCACAGTTGTGATCTCTATTACTGTAAGATTGAATGGCTGCAGTCATAGACATTTTACCATAGTAATCTGTCAGCTGTATGTACATCCATGACAGTCATCTTGACTGACTGACTGAGTTTGGTTTTTACGCCGCTTTTAGCAATATTCCAGCAACATCACGGCGGGGGACACCAGAAATGGGCTTCACACATTGTGCCCATGACAGTCATCTTGTGAAGCCATTCGAAATAAGAAAAGTGATCTAATTCCATTTTCATGTCAAGGGACACAACTCATGGTTTTACATGGGATGGTACAAATGAGCTTGAAATGGCAAGGACATAATATAGTGTTTCATATACCTACTGGCAAACAAGGATAAGTTGGACTAGGGCAGAGAACGCGTTTACGAGTTTACGTCTACGCGTTTGCAATGAGCAAACCCATTTGGTTTGTGAAAGGTAGAGCATTTGTAGGCTAGTGCAGGTGCATTGCATGACGATGAAATTGATTTTGCACGTAGCCTTGCTCATAAGACCCTCACATGCTCGGTGTAGCAAGTTGGTAATATTCGGATACATAGATATATATACTGTCGAAGTCGTTGTTTGCTGAGACAGGCCACGTGCTTTACCCATCACACTACACTTGATCGCTGAGACAACCTGGGCTTCACCCTTCGCACTACACAATGGCAAGCCAGTATGGCAAGCGCCAGTAGGCGGCACTAATAAATGCTAATATGGGTCAATTGTCAGGTCGGTGCTCAACTTATCCTTGTTTGCCAGTAGTACACACTCTTACCGTCAGAAGATTAATCCTGTGCCAAGCAGTGGTTGCCATAGTTACTGATGACCTGGGTACTGTATTACCCAGGAATCTCTCACACTTCACAATAAGAAAATTTGCGAAATTGATTTATAAAAGCAAATATATGAAATTGGAATACAAAACACTGATTTCTCACAACTGTGACACAACAAGAGAAAATATGAACAACATATCGGATTGATATGTCAATGAAAAATAATGATTATGTATTTATGTTTAATAACATTTGTTTACAAATATCACACATTATATTTTTGGCACCAAGAAGCATACTAGATATTGTCTCATCCTTGGATATTAATCCAGCTGTGACCGTGACAGTATGACCTTGAGAGGAGGACCGAAGCGTCCGAGTTGACCTTTTGAAGGTATCAATGTTTAAAAAGACAGCGGGGCCGGTGGGGTAACCTAGTGGTTAAAGCATTCACTTGTCACGCTGACGACCAGGGTTCGATTCCCCACATTTGTGCAAGGTGTGAAGCCCATTTCTGGTGTCACCCGCTGTGATATTGCTGGAATATTGCTAAAAGCGGCGTAAAACTAAACTCAGTCAGTTAAAAGACAGCAAAGCTTGTGAAGATTAGTTAATGACCCACCAATGCCTAACTTTGCCACAGCCATTCATGATCTACAAAAGCATTTTTGCTTAACATAATGTGTACCACAACTTTCTGTTAGAACCATAAACAAAATACAAAATTAAAACACTAAGATGTCGAAGTTGTTGGGACCTACATAAATACAGGAATTATCTGAGGTGCGACACAACCGCAAAATGTTGACAAAATAAGGAATACACACTTCCCAAGTTTTTACTTTAGTGTTTAACTGTATACATGTGAAAATCGTTCACAGTTTACATAAAATTTCAAGGAATAGTGATGATAATCATACTTCTGAATGGAGACATTTGATAAAATCATAATCTTAACAAAAAGCATACATGAAGAAAATGTTCTCTATATCAGATATTGCAATATTGATGCACTGATGATCTTTTTTATATCAAAACTAAACCAACACAGACATATGCAAGCCAGTTCTAAGGGACTGGGCCCGATCCACAAAGAATGTTTGTAGCGTTACAGGCAATCCTAACTTAAAGGTGCAGTGCATTATCAGTATGTCAGTGTATTGAGGTTCATTCCACGATATGTATCACAAAAATATTTTTAACTGTTCAGTGTATCTGACGATTTCAAATAATGCATTTTTTTAATAATAATACCATTTATACTTCTCCTGACTTTTATCATGTGTTATTTGACATACTTGCCAAATACCTTCAAAATGTTTCTGTAATTCCAAAATGTACGTCCACAAGGTAAGAACTGAATTCACAGTTACCTCCCTTATTTACTTTTATAAAAGACACAATAAAATTCTGTAAAGTAACTAAAACAAACTATGCCTTACTACTGTGTCCCAATTAACCATTGTTTCAACAATACCCAAAATCAGACAAGGCTTTAAAATGTGTGAAATCATTATTCCATGAGTGAGGCACACTGATTATAATGAACTTGCATATCTTGAAGCGTGTGGACAGGTACTGTGGACATAAAGATTTTGATCAGCTTGCACTTCTTGAAGCATCTGAATGGTTTCTGTGTACTAGGAGTCGGTAGCGGCGCCGGGGTAAGTATTGATGGCCTCTTCTAGACACTTCTTCGTCTGTGGGAAGCTGCGGTTGGCTGACTTGAGCTGGAGCTGTACGGTGATGCTGGCTAGGACGTCGAGGCTTCTCTGTTGCATGATGTGTTCTGCGTGAGACCCTCCGTGCTTCTTCAGCTGCCGCCGGGAGGGTCGAATAAGTTTGTGATCCTGGACAGCAAAACAAAAGTATTTTCGCAACTTTTATAGTAGTTTTTTTTCTTCAGATTGTTATCTTATGCAACAATGTGCAATAATCGAGCTTTTCACTGTCTAGCTATTCATAGCCTTGCTACTCATTGTCTAGCTATTCACTGTCTGGCTATACACTGTCTAGCTATTCACTGTCTGGCTATACACTGTCTAGCTATTCACTGTCTGGCTATACACTGTCTAGCTATTCACTGTCTGGCTATACACTGTCTAGCTATTCACTGTCTAGCTATACACTGTCTAGCTATTCACTGTCTAGCTATTCACTGTCTAGCTATTCACTGTCTGGCTATACACTGTCTAGCTATTCACTGTCTGGCTATACACTGTCTAGCTATTCACTATTAGTTATAACTATTTACAGTCTATGTACTCACAGCCTAGCTATTCACTGTCTAGCGATACACTGTCTAGCTGTATATAATGGAGTCCAGACCTGAGAGTGTGTTAATTAACAAGGCAGTAAAAGCCCACAGTGATGTAAGAAGTACATACTACCAATTTTGATGAACCCCTTTGCCATGGACGGAGGCCCCAACTACATGGAGTGAAACGTATATATGTATGGTGTGAAACCTCCATGTGTACGATGTGAAACTCCCATATGTATGATGTGAACCACTTTAGGTATGGTGTGAAACCCCCAGAGTATAACGTGTGTAAATAAAGTAAAACATGTATTTAGCAGGATTCTGACTCAATGTGTATAATTGTACAAGTATTTCCATCCAGTGAGTGAGTGAGTGAGTTTAGTTGTACGCCTCACTCTGCAATATCCCAGCTATATGGCGGCGGTCTGTAAATAATCGAGTCTGGACCAGACAATCCAGTGATCAACAGCATGAGCATCGATCTGCGCAATTGGGAACCGATGACATGTGTCAACCAAGTCAGCGAAACTGACCACCCGATCCCGTTAGTCGCCTCTTCGACAAGCATAGTCGCCTTTTATGGCAAGCACATGGGTTGCTGAAGACCTATTCTATCCCGGATCTTCACGGGTCATTTCCATCCAGGAACCAAGTTGATCATGTGTTCAGGCTTCACTTCAAACAATGTAAACCAAAACTTCATGCTTAAATCCCAACACTGTAAACAAGGGAGTGAGTATAGTTTTACACTGCACTCCGCAATATTCCAGCTACATTGCAGCGGTTCCTAGATAATAAAATCTGGACCAGACAATTCAGTGAAAAACAGCATGAGCATCGATCTACACAATTGGGTGTGTCAACCAAGTCAGCGAGCCTGACCAACCGATCCCGTTAGTCGCCTCTAATGACAAGCATGGGTTGGTGAAGATCAGTGTAACAATAACAAACATCTGACCCTCATCTGTGCCTTGATGAGCTGCTGTGTGACCTCATGATGTTGGTCCCAGTCCTCGCCATCTTTCTCCACACTGACCCGGACATCCAGCTCCAGGGCCTGCACATAGGTCAAGGTCAGTTATCAATGTTAAGGTGAACTCAAGGCCCTGCACATAGGTCAAGGTCAGTAATCAATGTTAAGGTGAACACAAGGGCCTGCACATAGGTCAAGGTCAGTAATCATTGTTAGGGTGAACTCAAAGGCCTGCACATAGGTCAAGTTCAGTAATCAATGTTAAGGTGAACTCAAGGGCCTGCACATAGGTCAAGGTCAGTAATCAATGTTAGGGTGAACTCAAGGGCCTGCACATAGGTCAAGGTCAGTAATCAATGTTAAGGTGAACTCAAGGGCCTGCACATAGGTCAAGGTCAGTAATCATTGTTAGGGTGAACTCAAAGCCCTGCACATAGGTCAAGGTCAGAGCATCAAAGTAAAGGTTAACACAATGGAAGCAAATACTGACCATGTGAATCATTGAAATGGGTCTGAACTTCACATCATTACACATATATAGCGATGTGTGGACATAACTAAACATGGTTCAAGTGTCAACATATTAAGCAGATGATACACTCAGGTCAAGGTAGGAAGAAGGTATGAAATTAGGTCAAGGTCAGCTGCATGTGACATGTCTACAGAGGTCAAGGACTTCCCAGCACAGTGAATTTTAAAATTTAGTTTCAGCTGGGCTTCAAAACCCAGATAAATTTTTAGCAAGAATACTAACAGCATCTTCCCAAGGTCGTACTAACCTCTTCTAATGGGGTGAGATGTCGAGGTATTTCTTCATCCAGATGAAATTTGGCACACAATGCGATTGTTTCAAACACCAGCTGTCGGAGGTAGAGGTGTGCGCTGACAATAGCCTGTTGATAACACAACCACATAAATGAATTCAAAAAGACAAACATTTGTGTCAAGATCATGTAGATCGATAGTCAGCAACGAAATGTAGATTATCATTACAAAATAGAGAAGTAACTTAGCTCAAAACATAAATAAAGTCTAAAAGGAATCAAAATATTTCACATGACTTAAAGTAAGCATTTATGTGTGGATTACTAACAAAAACTACAACCTGAATAGAGAGTTGGAAGCAGCCAATAATTAAGACTAAATGAAATATGTCATCAGGGAAACTCTGTCTTAGTTCAATAATCAGAAATATCGTCAACAGGAATCACTATTCATGATTATTGATATGAAAATAGCGTCATTGATTATATCATACATTAACTTCTGAGATAGAAAAAAGTTTTAATTTTCTCATACAATACACAAATTTATGACTTTATTCATGGTCTGCTTCTAAATTATGTTCAAGACACCATTTTGTTAATCATCCATGCAAAAAATGTCACCAGTCACCAGTGATGTGAAATATATACATTTCTTTCAGACATTTTGCTCAAAGTGACATCTCCCATATTTATCGATAATTGATCAATATTTAGATAACGATTATCGACCTCTATTATGTATGTCGATAGCCAGCATTAATGTGAATAGGGCTTAAGTCTTGTTTCTAAGTCTGTTTTATCAGGTTAATTATGAAGAATTTACAATTTCATCTTCCCCTGTAGCCATTTTATTAAGATAAATTCAGAAACATGACTTGCGTTTTTGTCCATGACTTTCTGTATGAACTCCAGTACTTCAGGTGGTGTTGTGTCGCCGAGTCGGTTTCGAGAAGATCTGAAGGTTGACATGTTCTCCAAGTAGAAATCGCATTTGCCCTGAAAGTGATGAAGTGAGGAGACATCTTTGGAGAAAATATATGCTGTAGTTGTATTGTTTGATTGTTGTTTAACACTCCACTATGCAGGGGATGGTGGGGTAGCCTAGTGGTTAAAATGTTACCTCTTCACGCCAAAGACTGGGTTTGATTCCCCACATTGGTCCAATGTGTGAAGCCCATTTCTGGTGTTCCCTGCTGTGATATTGCTGAAAGATTGCTAAACGCGGCGTAAAACTAAACTCACTCACTCAGGGGAGTAGGCAAGGTTCCGACTATATGATTGTAGCCTGTAAAGGTGTCTGAACCAGACATTTCAATGTTTGATATCATGAACAACAACCCACAACATCTACGACAGCAACTAGACCACCAAGTCCAACCACCCGATCTATTAGGTCACCTCTTTCTAGGGTGATGATCTAATTCAATAGGTTGACTCCTACAACTAGCATGGGTTGCTAAGCACCAGCCGTTGTGAGTGAGTTAGAATTTATTGTCACATCAGCAATATTTCATCCACATTGTAATTAGTACCAACTGTAACAATAAGATGAACGACTTCTTTATTACATCCTTCTTTATGTTCCTCTATATATTGTTATCCTTCCTTAATACTCTAACTTCTAAATGCCTCTCAAAGAAGTTAATTGTACTGACTGACTGACTGAGTTTGGTTTTACGCCGCTTTTAGCAATATTCCAGCAACATCACAGCGGGGGACACCAGAAATGGGCTTCACACATTGTACCCATGTGGGGATTCGAACCCGGGTCCTCAGCATGACGAGCCAACGCTTTAACCCTTAGGCTACCCCACCGCCCAAGTTAATTGTAACCATGGTCACCAGAGGCAGAAAGTGATGAACAAAGAGATGGCGGCAGTATTTCCATAAACAGCAGATGTTATCGATTAACTGGATACAGAATACAATCGTAGTGATAAAGTAAAACAGGTTCCTGGTACCTGATGGACACACTCAGAAGTGACTTCTTTCCCCATATCTCGTGATGAAAGGTATTATACAAATACACTGATATTTGTTTATTAGGAAACATACCGTATATTACCGTCTATAAGCCGAATTTTGAGGACCAAAAAAAGCAGTCTGTAGAAGGGGGTCGTCTAATCCATGGGTTACGCTTTCGTCAAACAGAATACTATTATTTAACCCAAAGAAATATATCCTAGCATTGTGTAATTTTAATTACAGTTTTTGCTCTATAAATTTATTAAGATTAAGATTACCATGTGTATTTGAGCCGGGAATAGCAATCAGCAGCGAACAAGTTCAAACATGCACAATAATATGACGGGACGAATTCTGACGCAGACGTCAGTAAAATATAATACAGAGTACTATTATTTAACCCAAAGAAATATAACCTAGCATTGTGTAATTTCAATTACAGTTTTTATGTAAAATATATATAATTAACACTAAGGTTATACGGACCCTCATGAACGTGGTAAGCAGAAGTTGTACGCACATGGAATGGGGTAAAATACGGAAGCCATTTAAATTGACACATTTTTACTGATGTTACTGTAAACTAGCAGTCAATGGAAAACGAAGCGGTAATCAGTTTGTGATTGTTGAATGGGGTAAAATAAGCAAGCCAGTTTTTTGCTACAATAAATATGATATTTAGAGAAACAAAATATCTTATGCATTTTCTGTCAACTACACTTCGTTTCGATCCGTGAGTAGACATAATATATATGATTGTGAATTCTTTGAATAATGTGGACCAAAGTTATAATTATTTGTAACTGCCAGTTGTCTGTGGTCTGTGTTTGCCGCGATTAGGACCCAATCACAGGGGATCAACTTCTGCACAAAACATACCATTTTGACACTGATTTTAAGGGTAAAGTTTGGGGGTCGTCTTATCCATGGGGGTCGTCTTATAGACGGTAATATACGGTACTGCAAAGACAGTTGTAAACAGAACATTGATAACACTGAACGTTGGTCATGGAGATTCCTTGGATGGGTGACCGTGTTTGGCAGCTTGACTCCTGAGAGTTTCAAGGACTTCTGTCCTTCCCTACAATGAAACACCTATGTGGTCACACCTAAGGCAAGTGAGTTTGTTCAAACTGCCTTTGTTCACCCAGCAGAAACCTGGTGGTATACTTCATATGACTATTAACTTTCTAGCGCCTCACAGGCAGCTTGGGTTATCCGGGGTACTAATGCCCATCATTGTATGCGCTTAGAGCATGTCCCTAGAGTTCAGCTAATAATAAGTGTCCAATTATTATTATGAATCATTAATATGATTACTGAATGCACAGTATGAGTCATATGAACCATTGAACTTTAAACACTGAATAGGATGTTATCAGTATCAATGGAAAGAAAGGGTTTAAAATTTCTGCATTACAACTGTCAAGTAATTGTTAGCTTGTTTGTTGTCCAATGCCACACTCAGCAATATTACTGTTATATTGCAGCAGTCTGTAAATAATTCAGTCTGGACCAAACAATCCAGTGATCAACATCATGAGCACTGGATTATGCAATTGGGTCAGGATCACATGCATCAGCCAAGTCTGTTCTGCTTGGAAAAAATGTATTTATATGCATAATATAGATATAGATAGCTCTGAAAGGAACTGACCACCAGCAGGAAATTTTAATATAAATTGTATGAGGGTCTTATATACTTATCCTATCTGAGCGACTTGCACCTCTCTCTCTTGCTTCAGGGACTTTTAGTGGAGTTTCCATGACTGTATTTTAACCTTTTCCATAGGCCTCCTTGTCCATTGCTGGACCATGACATGCTCCATGCTGCTCTCCTTAATTAGCTTCCTGGTTCCTAATAAAGCTTGCAGCATGCTCCACTAATTGCCCACATGACTACCTTGAATGATCATTCTCATCTTGGAGCCAACATTGTAATCTGAGTAGTGGGGAGGCCGGGTGGGCATCCATCGCGTGAGATAGGATAAGTATATAAATATACAATTTATATTAAAATTTCCAATTTTTTAAACTTATCCTATCTCACGACTTGCACTTATCCCACGGTTGGACGGCGGGCCGCAGATTACCCTTCTGTCTAGACAGTGTGAACAGCTGGTCTTGAAGCTGTGTGGACTGATGACAACCGTAGATAGCGATGTACAAGGGAGGCCTGTTATGCATGCACGCAACTCCTATGCTTGTAGTTGGTTCTCCGGAACCCCTTGGCTTACTAAGCACAACGACACCCAGGGAGATGGGTGCTCCCGAGCGATGTGGTGTTCGGCCGCAACCTTGTACAAGACAAGGGACGCAACTCGGCAAGTAGGCCTCGCCTCGCCACGAATTACAAGGTACCCCCGTAATTAAAGTCTTGCAACTAGAATCGGGCCAGCCCCTGCTTCAAGAAGGCCCCCCAGACACCAACCGAGGCGGGTCAAAGAGAAACACAACTCGGCATCTCCAAGCTTTAACGTTCAGTTCCGGGCAGCATCAAATTGACCATCACTCCTTTGCCTAAGCTTAGTCAAAGGATATGCCCGGCAACTTTGGAGGCAGAACGCAATGAAATCCACTGGAATTCGGGAGTGTCACACTTCACTGACGTAATTGCTCAGTGGAGTAGAGGTCAGTAGGCGTGAATGTCGAACACCACTGCATCGTCATACTGATTGTGCCTCAAGTCCGTAGGGCCACGCTAGGTGGCCGTATTCCGATGCCTTGGTATGGAGGCCAAGTGAAGTAGTTCTTAAACCCATATAATGAGAACAAAAGGTTGAGATCCAGTTCAACTTTTATTCAGTATATACAAGGAAGCAGTAACGCGAATGCGGAACTGTCCCTCATCTGCGTTGTTGGGCCGATGTAAGCTGCTGAGCCAGTACAAGACGTCCAAACTGGTGTAGTCCCTGGACATCCGTGACAGACAGGTCTCGCAGGTAATGTGAAGAGAAGACTGTATCAGAACGCCAGAAGCAACCTTCCATGATAACAGTCAAGGAGCAGTTGCTATGGAGGGCCATCGTCGAGGCTAGTGCACGAGTCTCATGAGGATTGGAAACGGCTGGAGGAGGCAACCCTGCAAAGGTGTTGGCTCGCAGGATCGTGGCACGCATCCATATTGCCAATGTGGTCTGGGAAACCTCAGTTCTTGAAGCGGTCGACAAGGGTATGAAGAGGCGCTTCTGTAGCCGCTACACGTTTACCTTGCTGCCTCCAAGGATCGTCGAGTGTCAAATCTTCATTATCATCAGGCCCAAGAATGGTGGACAACAGGGGAATGGTAAACATCCGGTCCGGTTGCCCTGGCAGTTGGTTTTTCGCAATGAAGTCCCAGCGGAGACCCAGGAAAGCCTTGCCATGCTTCTTCCGCTTGAACTGCACCCGATTGACTTCAAGAGCATGCAGTTCAGATATACGAGCAGCGGTAGCCAAAGCTACCAGGAGTTTCTTAGTAGTGCGGAGATGCTGGAGAAACTCAGCAACGACCTGAGCCAAGGTGGAAGTGGGAGATGCAATTCCCCTAACCTTGCAATAGTCTTCAAACTTCTTCCACTTGTTGTCGTACAAGGAACGGGTCAAAGTACGATGCGCTGAAGTGATGTGAGGTGACCCGTGGCACAGTTCCGAGTGAGCGTGAAGAAGTAGGTCGTCCCGGTTGGGAAGCGGTACTGGGTTTGGCTCTGCCAGGCTTCTTAGGTTGACGAACCAACTTCTCGCTGGCCAGGAGGTGCGACCAAAAGCAGTAGTATGTTGCTGGTGGCCAATAGTTTCTGTATTACTTTTGGTAGCAGAGCTGGAGGGGGAAACGCGTAGGCATTGAGACCCTCCCATGATATTGCCAATGCGTCGAGGTCCCAAGCCAAGGAGTCTGGGATTGGTGATGCGAACTTTGGAAGTTGGTTGTTGAACCTTATTTGAGGCCGTGATAACGGGTAGATCATCGACTGAAAGCTCTGGGGCAGTAACTTCCAATTTGTTGGGGACGGTCAGTTGGATCGGGACAAGGCATCGGCGATCACATTTTTTAACCCTGGGAATGTGTCCTGCTCTGGCTACGATGAGATGGAAAAACCTGATCGCCCATTGTAGCAGATTCGCTGAGCCTGTCGAGCCTAGATGATTTATATACCAAACCACTGTCGAAATGTCTGATTGGATCAACAGACTGTTTGATTGAAGCCTTGAATTCCAGCTCATTTATATGAAGTACCAGTTCATCGGATGACCACAGCCCGGCCACTTGGTGGTCGAGGAAGTGAGCTCCCCAAACCATGAGGGATGCATCGACGAATAGGTGATGAGATGGTGCAAAGGGCATCATAGAGACTCCGGCGCAAACATACCATTCGTCGAGCCACCATTGAAGGACTGGACGAAGCGGTTCTGGAAGGCAAATCATAGTTCCTTGGGGTTGTCGGCCTTAAGGTACGGGCGTAGAAATCGCTGTATCGGCCGAAGTTGGAGCTGGCCTCTGTACGTTAAGGCTTGAGCTGACGTCAGAAGGCCCAGTAGCTCCTGCCACTGTTGTTAGGTTCTCCCCTGAGACAGTGCTGGAGGAATGCATCGCTGAATCTTTATCCACCTGTCGTGAGGGACGAACATCATCCCCTGACAAGTTTCGAACAGTGCTCCGATGAATTGGAGTCTCTGACTCTGAGTCGGTATTAGTTCCGATTTCGCGATGTTCAACAGCCACCCTAACTGTCTGAGCAGCGTGGTGGTGAACTGTAGCTGGCGAAGCAATACGATCGGATCCTGTTGAGCCTGGATGCAATTGTCTATGTAGCTTTCGAAGGTGATCCCTTGAAAGTGGAGGAAGCTCGTTATGGGCTTAGTAATTCAGGTAAAAACCAAGGAGATGGGGGAGTAGAACCCTGGAGTGACGGGCGCTGGACCTAGGAGCTCTATCGCGAATTTGTCTAATAGCGTACCTATAGTGGTTTGCAGAGTCTGAAGCTGGTCCACAGGATATGAGCGATGAGCCGGATGCAACGTCAGAGGTGGACCGCCAATAACGGGTAGCTGATAGCCGTGAAGTAGCAGGTTGGTGACGTACGGATCCTTGAGGATGGTCCAATTCGGGGCGAAGATCTGTAATCTCCCGCCTACCGGAGTGTTGTAAATCGGAACGACTGGGGGCGGGAGGTCTGTGCCGGTGATCTGGATTCCCTAGTATGGCTAGGTGATCCGGTATGATATGAAGAACTACCATATATGACCGTCTATAAGCCGAATTTTGAGGACCCAAAAAGCAGTCTGTAGAAGGGGGTCGTCTTATCCATGGGTTACGCTTTCGTCAAACTTTTTTCCAGGGGTAAGAAAACAACATTGTCTCACCCTGGTGAACAAACAACAGAAGACGACTTTGTCAGTAGAGACGTCAAATTTGCAATTAAACATCACTAGACAAGATTATTTACCTTTTAAGTTATAAGTTGTTTTTGCTGGGCATTGTATTATTTGCAGGGATTAAGATTACCGTGCGTATTTGTCTCGTACACAAAGCCGGAAATAGCAATCAGCTGTGCACACGTTTCCCGGCGAACAAGTTCAAACATGCACAATAATATAACGGGACGAATTCTGACGCAGTCATCAGTAAAATATAATACAGAATACCATTATTTAACTCAAAGAAATATATCCTAGCATTGTGTAATTTTAGTTACAGTTTTTGCTCTATAAATTAATTAAGATTACCGTGCGTATTTGTCTCGTACACAAAGCCGGAAATAGCAATCAGCTGTGCACACGTTTCCCGGTGAACAAGTTCAAACATGCACAATAATATAACGGGACGAATTCTGACGCATTCGTCAGTAAAATATAATACAGAATACTATTATTTAACCCAAAGAATTTTATTTACAGTTTTTATGTAAAATATATATAATCAACACTAAGGTTATACGGACCCTCATGAACGTGGTAAGCACATGGAATGGGGTAAAATACGGAAGCCATTTACACATTTTTACCGATGTTACTGTAAACTAGCAGTCAATAGAAAATGAGGCGGTAATCAGTTCGTGATTGTTGAATGGGGTAAAATAAGCAAGCCAGTTTGTTGCTACAATAAATATGATATTTAGAGAAGCTATATTATCCATTTTCTGTCAACTACACTTCGTTTCGATCCGTGAGTAGACACAATATATATGACATTGAATTCTTTGAATAATGTGGACCAAAGTTATAATTATTGTTGTGGTCTGTGTTTGCCGCGATTAGGACCCCATCGCGGGGGATCGACTTATGCACGAAACATACCATTTTGACACTGATTTTAAGGGTCAAGTTTGGGGGTCGTCTTATCCATGGGGTCGTCTTATAGACGGTCATATACGGTAGTCTGGGTCGCTGTAGTTCTAGTTGGTGATCTGGTTCTGATTGGAGCTCTGGTTCGACCATCTGAATAGAATCGGCCATGAGATGTGGATCTGTACTGTGATCCCGATTGGTCAATGGCTCTGTAAGGTGATCTAGATCGTATAGGTGACCTGGGTTGGTAAGATGATCTGGATTTGTAAAGTGATCTGGACCGATTCGATGCACTAACTGGAAACTTTGATCGTGATCTGGATCTATAAGGTGATCTGGTTTGCAGTTGCAATCTGGCTTGATTTGGTGATCTGGATCGGTTAGGTGATCTATTTTGATGTTGTGATCTGGATCGGTTCGGTGATCTGGATCGGTCTGGCGATCTACTTCGATGTTGTGATCTGGATCGGTTAGGTGACCTAGATCGGTCCGGTGATCTGATTCGAAGTTGTGATCTGGATCCACTCGGTGATCTGGATCGGTCCAGTGATCTGATTCGAAGTTGTGATCTGGATCCTTTCGGTGATCTGGATTGGCTAGGTGATCTGGATCGGTCCGGTGATCTGATTCGAAGTTGTGATCTGGACCCATTTGGTGATCTGGATCGATTAGGTGATCTGGATTGATCAGGTGATGTGGATCGTAGTTGTGCTCTGGATCGGTTAGGTGATCTGGATTGATCAGGTGATGTGGATCGTAGTTGTGCTCTGGATCGTGACTGTGATCTGGATCGATCCGGTGATCTTGATCGGAACGGTGATCTAGATCGGGTTTGTGATGGTGATCTGGATCGTGAAGGTGATCTAGAATGATGTGGTGATCTGGATCGGCGATTAGGTGATGAAACCTGAAGTGTTAATTCATGATGAACGTCGTAGCTGTTGTAGCCAGCTCCGTCCGGTTCAATGAACTGTTGGGGGACAGTTGGCTGGTTGAACACGGTTGGCCAGGCTCCAAACAAACTGAGACAGTTGAGGAGATATGTACCGATGATCTGGATGATGATAGTGTCGATCTAAGGTCCCCTGGTAGTGTAGATCGGACAGGCAACGATGAATTATCGATCACAACCACCTGCGCGAGTGATCTGACGCTATAGAAGGAGGTGATTGATGCGTACGTAATAGCTGCCGAACGTCCTCAGATAAGTAAGAATCTGATGAAGCGTCCATAAAATCCTCTTGAACCACAGACGTCGCTCTCTTGCGTGAAGGTACGATTTTCTGTCGCTGTAACTTGATACGCTTGGCGGGAATGGGATCAGATTCTGTTGATTTCCTGTCCCTATCGGTGATTCTCCGGGAGCAAACACGAAGGTAGGCCTTAAAATCCTCATCTTTTAGTGAATTACACTTGCCACATCGTTTGTTCCAGTTACATTGTCCAATACAGTCACTGCAAGACGAGTGAGGGTCGAGGGACGAATAATTCGTCTTGCATTGAGTACAAAATTTCCTTTTCCTTCACTGATTATCAGTATTCCCCATGATGTTAGGGTGAAATAATGTCCCTAATATACAGCACGTCCACACAGTCGTGCGACAAGAAAGAGAATAATCATTCAAGGTAGTCACATGGGCAATTAGTGGAGCATGCTGCAAGCTTCATTAGGAACTAGGAAGCTAATTAAGGAGAGCAGCATGGAGTTCACGGGCGAATGGACAAGGAGGCCTAGGGAAAAAAGTTTACAGTCGTTCCACTAAAAGTCGAAGCAAGAGAGAGAGGTGCAAGTCATGAGATAAGTTTAAAAATTTCATTTTTCACAAGAAAACAAAACAAATTCTTTAACATCATAGATATTTCCTAAATATTTATAGTCTAAGTGTTTGCCCTGACAATGGAATGGTGGTTGTTCTACCCCTGGCAGCTTTACCAAGATATGTTAAAAGATGGTACTTATTGTTACCCTTCCTTGAGGTCGGCATTAAGAGCATGAAACAAGGACTGGTCCAGTTTAAAGACAAAGCATCCCCTTTGGTTGCATCTCAAGGATTCGAGACAATGGAATGCACACTGATATGTTGATTGAGATAATAATGGGATGCAATTTTAGCATGGATGCAATGTATGATTACATATATAACTCTTACAACTATTGTTATTATCACACCAACCTGTGCTTTGGCCAGTGTCTTCATGTTACTCTTGGGAAGCCCAGATCCTGACCCAGATGATCCGCGACTGTTATCTTCCAAGGAGTCCACAATTTCCTGGTACTGGAACACAGTGATAACATGCATATAACTAAGACGCTTAAGAGCGACTCACATGGATCGGCACTTCGTAATGACCTGCCGATTTCCATACATTGTACAACATGTTCAGTGGTTGTATTGAATATCGATCAATTTTCTACCCCTCGCATGATTCGATCTTCCAATATTAGTGATGATTTCATACAATCTCACGGTAATTTGTTTCCATGGTATCAAAACGTCTGAAGCAGACTTAGTGGCAGTTATCTGCTGTGCAATACTATGTGAAGAAGACGGCAATGCCAAAGAGAAGAAAAAGAGAAGTTGTTGGACAAAAGAATGGATTCTCCATTGTGATATTCCATAGTGTTTCTCGACTCAGATGATGAGTCATGAAACACTCCGTTTCCTCCCGTGAAAAATCAATGCGCAGTGTCTTTGAAGCAGACGAAGCCATGTTTCGTGCTTGTATGTAAACATTTACCACGTGACACCAAAATGCATTTTGATTGGCCACGCCACATCCAACTTGCCGAATAACTAGAACAGGCTCTACGCACTCGTGACACAATCGACGCGGGTTCGAGCAGCTGATTTGTACCGTTTTGTTGAATTTGATTAATCACTCAAATGATATCACTCGAATGCTGCCTGTTATCTTCCAAGGAGTCCATTATCTCCTGGTACTTCAACAAAATTATAACACAGATATTACTAAAACCCTGGCTGTTATCTTCCAAGGATTCCATTATCTCCTGGTACTACAATACAATAATAACACACATATTACTAGAACCCTGCCTGTTACCTGCAAGAAAGTCCAATAACTCCTGGTACAACACAATTATCACATATCACAACATTTACAAACATATAGACCACTGATGCAGTCTTGTGTAAATCACAGTAAACAGGCAAATAGTATTTTCATTTCAGCCTGATAAACACTGACCTCTGGAAGATGCGTCTTGACCTTCATCTCAGTTTTGTGGAAGTTGGCATTGATGCTGGTCAACTGCGGCATCAGTTCTGAACTCGGGTCATCGTCCATGGCAGCCTCCAGCTGGGAGATCTGCCGTTCTATGATCTGCTCTCGACATGTCGGACAGGCTCGTAGGTATAGACTCACCTCGGGCTCCACCTCCGGACACTAGGGGATTGGAGTGGGCATTAGTTCTCAGGAAAATCATAATAATTATATTCATAGTGACATCACACTTACATAGATGTTCTATTAACAAAAATCACTTGGACATCATTCAATCTTTGTTCTTTAGCAAGATAAAAACTAGTCATTTCATGCAATAAACATGGAATCAACAAAAGTACTTTCTGTACAAACTGTATCAGGTACAATTCCAAATGGAATATAATTCTGAATATCACTCTGTGAAAAAACTCAAGATATCCCTGGTACTACAGCTAATCCTACCCCAATGATTTTGATGATGGCAAGTCTGGGGTCAGCAGGTCTTTGTTCGCCAGGCTCCACGTCGGGGAAGTAGACCAACAGGTCCTTGGCCGAGCATCCCTTACACAGCACCAACCCGCACACACGACAAAACAGCTTCTTACGCAGGAATCCGAACGTGCTGCGACACATGTGACAGCAATCACTCAGGTTCTCTTGCTGTGGAGAAAATACTTTACAATTCAACTATTTCTTTAAAACATTCAAAGCATTTCATTCAAACACACTATATCTTCAAAAAATATATTTGGCACTTTCTCCGATTCCTTCTTGACATTCCATGAGAATTCTTCCTACAGTCTGACACTCCTGGTACAATCACTGTCACATGAGAACCGGTCATTACAAGAATCTAACATTTGCCCTCTAACCACCAATGTTGTGACACTTTGTTCATGCCCTTAAGAATGTCATTGTGGTGTCATAAAGGTTTGATAATGACTTATTGTTTTGCTGATTAATTTACCATGATTTACAGTTTGTGTCAAGATTATGAGATGTCTTAAATAGTGCAGATGAAATTAGCCAACTTTTTTGCCAGATTTTGTGACATTGTTCCCTGTCTAAGTCAACATTACTGTTCTCATTTTCAAAAATAAATCAATACAAATATAATGAAAGAACTTTACAGTGTCTTTCTTTATGTGATTTTACAATTCTTTGATATTTTTTAAACAAAAAAATGTAAACAGTCTGATCTGAATGCCTACACAAAGGCATACAAATTGAAGAGCTGCTTTAATAAGATCCAAAATGGTGTCAGAGTGGTTCATGGCATTTGATTGTAAAGTCACAATGGTAAGCATACATTGTGAGGCAATCTGATGGAGATATCGCTTCATCTCATCAAGCTAGTTTTGGAAGACATATAACATTTGAATCATGTTGTAATGATGCCCACAGACACATCAAAGAGTGAAACATTTTTTACTTCAAATGTGCTACAGGGCACTCAATAAGCCATTTTCAAATGTGCCCCGGAATTAGAAGTGCCCATAAGAAAAGGAATTAGAAGTGCCCATAAGAAAGAATACTGCTCATTTACTGAGAAAGTGTATGCCCAAATACAACATGTGACGTTACTGCTCATCTTTATGAACTGAACTGTGATGGTCATTTCACCATCAGTTAAATAACCAGCAGTTGTAATTTATTGGACATCCCTTTCCTTTTCACTGGAATTGAAAAAGATCTTATAGATTTCTGAATCCCTAGGTTCAGATTGTAAATCATACGATCAAATGTTCATATGCTCATCTACCAGATGTTTGCAAATCATATTTAAGTGAATTACATGTGTCCATGACTGAGCAATAAAAACACAAAAAACACAAGAGTTACCTACTTCAATATGGGGGTGGTTGGGTAGCCGTGTGGCTAAAGTGTTCGCTCATCATGCCGAACACCAGAGTTCGAATCCCCACATGGGCACAATGTGTGAAGCCCATTTCTGGTGTCACCCACTGTGATATTGCTGGAATATTGCTAAAAGTGGGATAAAAATAAACTCACCCACTCACTCACTACTTCAATATGATTTTACCTAAGAGACTGGTCATATATTATTTAGAGGTCTGTGAGAGTGATTGGTCTGCGACTGTATAATACTAGCTGACCACTGACCCCTACCACTTTCCTGACTCTCTACAGTTGTGAGAAGCTCTGGAGGCAACTTTCTTTTGCTTAACGATTTTGTTCTAGACACAAAACCCAAATCCATTATCCCCCTTCTCCCTTACAACAAATGACTGCTCCCTAACACGGGGTATTTCAAACTCTGAACATGTTTCAAATACATTCAGATCAAATATTATTTCCAGTTAGGAAGTTTACATGCTTAGCAACTGCAGGTCAAACACTTATCCTACAAAAAATATTTAGATGATGAAAAATTGCTACATCCAACAAAACATTCCTGCACAAAAACTTGTTGAGAATTCCGCCATTACGCATCACTCTCTACTTACTATCCACATGCTAGCCTTCTGCCACTCTGGAATCGACACCATGTTCCTCAGCTCATGCAACGTCCTCTTGACCTCTGATGACCCCATTGACCCCTTGAACCCTTCAATAAGCCGTCTGCACTCCTTTTCAAAATCGAATTTGTCTCTCCGTGACGAGGATAAATGACCTCTCAATGCTGATGAATTCTTATACTTATACATTCTGAGTGCCCGGAACTCGGCCGTAAGACAGACCATCCTTCCCTCGGTCTCCTGGCCCTCAGCATAGCAGGACTGACAAACCTGGATAAAAATATACCAACAATCACATTACAGTCATCCGCATGAAGGTCAAGGTTACACTATAAGTTGTTCACTGGTCACATGGGGGGCATGGGTTGATGTACCCTCGATGTTTGTTTATGTTCCCTGAGCCCGAAGACAAACAAACATCGAGGGTACATCAACCCGTGGGCCCCAAGGGACCAGTGAACAACGTATTTATCTTACCGAACACCTTAATGTTAATTTTGAATTGTTTGAAGCACGGGTACAAATCTTTTTGAAGGCGTCGCTAGATTTTGCTGACAAGAAAAACAGATTTAGAGTTATCTCCCTTCCATCGATTTGCATTCGCAAAACATCGGTAATTTCCGTACATCATACGTGATTCAATGTTATTCGAGATAAAGCCAAAGGATTACTACCACGAAGTACCAAATGAGTTGCCATTGACAGCGGGTCCATTGAAATGTTACTCGCTTGTAAGCGGGGTACATTGAAAATAATAGAAGCGCGCTCAGCCAATCAGAAAGCAACTTTTATGTGTGAGGTAAGATAAATGGTGATGAGCACCTCATGCAGGTCGTATGGGGTGACATTAACTCTGGGGTGGTCGAACTTGCTGACTTTGATGATGCATGTCATCTTATCTCAATATATAGATATATGCTCATGATATCAATCACTTGATTGTCTGGTCCAGTCATGATTAATATCATATAGGACTGCACGGTATTACCAGTATATCGCAATACGCTTTTCTAACGATACGTATTGCAATATTTTTTCTGAGAACCGGTATATTGGGTAAAGGACATATATGAAGTTTTTGTGATTATCTTTATGGTTTAAATCAAAATCTACAGAGACTTTCATCCACAACAAATATTTTCCTAGGTTATTCAATGACAAAATGGCATACTGTGATACTATAATTGTACAAAAAAGAGAAAAAAGAATCCCCGACTATGCAAACTAATTTTGAGATTGCTGTTATCAGAGCCATAACATATATGCTGTGTTTGGAATCTAGTTTAGATTCTACATATGCATAATATGAACTATACAGTACACCAAACAGGTTTCGAGTCATATTTATCTCATATGAACTATACACAAACAAGTTTAGTTCCACATATACTTATATGAACTATACCAAACAAATTTAGTTCCATTTTACCTCATATGAACTATACCCAAACAAATTTAGATCTATATTTACCTTATAAGATCGACCATCTGGGTCAGGGTTGGCAAGTTTATTTAATTTACGACGGAACTTTACACAGCTGCTGCAAAAAATATTTCCACACCTGCAAAACAAAAGACATGATAACATTACAATGTGGCAGCAGTACTGTCCCCAACCCAAGCTTATGTAAGTTGTTTGGCAATAGTTTATTTGGGCCACAGATAATGGATGGTGAACAACAAACCAGTGATTAGTATGGTAAGTGAGTGAGTGAATGTGTTTAGTTTTACGCCGCACTTAGCAATATTCCAGCTATATACATACATACAAACATTCGTATAGCACCGATATCCAGTACACCTGCTCAAAGGCGCTTTGTTTTCCCTCGATCATTGGATGTCCTTCACAACGGCACATCGTAGTTTCAATCTCAACTCCCTGGGGATCATACAACTCTTGCTGCCTACTAGGCGCACCGAGTTAATGTGGCTTTCCCATCCGTACGAGGTACCCATTCACAGCCGGGTGGACTGGGACACATAGTCACAGCACTTTGTCCAAGTTTACTGCACGTTGCTGTACCCGCAACTGGGTGTTTGCACGTATTCATGTGGCCACCATCTGGTCATCTACCAACGGATTCGTGGGTTCTTTAAGTGCACACGGTTGTGTACTGTACACTAGGGGTTGTGACAACACTGAAAGAGTCTGCACACAAAGTTGACTCCAAGGTTTTTTACACCCGGTCACAGGTGGGCTCGATCCCGGCACCTCCAACTTAGTCCAAGCTCGCTTGATTACTAGCCTGGCGCCTTAGACAGCTCGCCCACCGCGCTATATGGCGGCGGTCTGTAAATAATCGAGTCGGGATCAGACAATCCAGTGATCAACAGCATGAGCATCGATCTGCGCAATTGGGAACGGATGACATGTGTCAACCAAGTCAGCAAGCCTGACCACCCGATCCCATTAGTCGCCTCTTACGACAAGCATGGGTTACTGAAGGTTCATTCTAACCCGGACCTTCACGGGTTATTATGGTAAGTAGTACGCTATCAAGTTTGTTTACACACAACCCATTTAAACAAGTGAGTCAACTATCACAAAAATCAGAAATCAGTAACAATATGATAGTAATAGAAAAATTAAAGATGTTTAAAGACTGCCTTCTACATTGACTTGACAGAAAGTTATTACTGATATGAGTACGGAAGGGAGTTTAATGTGGAAGTTCCTCTGTTGGATGTGACTTCCTAAAAAGACCCTCCCAAATCAGCAAAATGAAAAGAACGGCATAGTTTGGGGTGTACCTCCTGCAGTGATGGACTCTATCCAGTAGGGAGAAGGGCTTGCGGCAGCTTCTGTTGCTGCAGACTGTCTTGCCATCCCACAGCTTCCAGTGACGCCGTGTGATGTCTGCGAGAGAAACATACTGTCAGCATTGTGCCAACCAAAGCAACTACATCTCAAACAGGAGTAAAACCATCATAGTGTTCAACAGGGTGAGGGCATTTATATTTTTAGTGAAATATAAGTTTCTTTTAATCCAAATGTATCCCTGGTACCAGTTGTATTTGATTTTATAGAACAGACTTTATGGATAACAACTTCTATTTAACTTCCTTAAGTGGCATTTAGAAGCTGGTATGATGAAGTGGAACACTTTTTTATGGATAGACAACGTCTTTGTTGCAGTAGTTGTTGCGACGTTTCGGTGTAGATCCTAACACCGTTATCAAGCAAATGGTACCGTTGTCAGGCAGGAATCTGTATCGAAATATCGCACTCACGAAATAAAGAAGTTGTTATCCATAAAGTCTGTTCTATATTGTAAGTCACAACTTCTAAAATGCCACTCAAACAAGGTATTTGATTTTTATTCCAAAGTCATCAAGTTAAGATGAGAACATTGACAATGACTCGATACACGAAGGTGAGGTGAGGTGAGGTGAAATTGGGTTTAACGTTGTACTTGAGAATATGACGACGTGCATGCGTGTGTATGTGTAGCTGCATGTACTAGCCCAGACTGAAGCTGGTTTTATAGTGCTAGCCCACTGAGATACCACGCCACAGTGAAGCATGAATACCCCACTCAGACACATTATACTGACTCCGAGCCGACCAGTCCTTGTTGTACCCATTAATGCCGAGCGCCAGGCAGGGACCAACAAGTACCATATTTTAACGTCTTTTGGTATGACGCAATCGGGGATCGAACCCGTGACTTTCCGCTCTCCAGGCGGACGCTCTAACCACTACACCACGGAGGCGGTCCCGATACACCAAGGAAATACAATATCTAACTTCACATTTTTTGCTTGTTCTGTCTCATTATAATCAGAACATAGTTCTTGCTTCCACCTTGTCAACTAAACTAGCATGACACAGGCAAGTATCATGCATTAAACAAGTGTTTGCCACTAATATGGCAACGTCCCCCGCCGCTACAGAAGAATGAAATATTTATCACATATTTTTCACTTTTTATTTTTGGGTCACATACAAGATGCCTGAAATTACTTGTGTCTGCTTAATCACCCAATGTAGGCTGTCGACATAATTGAAGACATTTGGTGCAATGTTTTATGAGATATCGCGTCTACATAAGTTTAAAATGTGGTCAAAGTGTCGTGGTGACCTTGAAGATATGGTCAAGGTCACCCAAATCACATGCTGTCTTCATAATACCCCAATGAAGGCTGTTAACAGAGTTTGAAGACATTGTGACTTTGACGATAAGGTCAAGGTCATCCAAGTGCATGAGATATCACGTTAACAAAAAGTTTCAAAAGATATGGTAACAAGAAGTCAAAAGTGGGTGACTTTGACGATAAGGTCAAGGTCATCCAAATCAACTGGTGTCTGCGTTATCCCCCAATGTAGGCTGCCACCAAATTTGAAGACATTGGGTACAACAGTTCATGAGATATCTCGTTAACAAGCATCGGGATGTACGTACAGATGTTGCTGAATACATAATCCAAATATACTGGTATTGAACTGACATTCTGCATAATGTCCTCTTAGTGAGAATATAATTGTTCAACTACAACATCCTCATTTTGGCATTTGTATTTCATTCTTTGTTGTGTCAAACACACAGTTGTCTCAAAATATACTGTATTTTCTCTAATAAGCGCCCAGGCACTTTATTTCAAAGGACTTCCAGATCCGGCACTTATTAGAGGCCCAGCGCTTTTGCGCTTACTGGGTCTAATTACCATAATTGTCAGTGAGCTGCTTTATCCCCGGCGCTTATTAGAGGCCTGGTGCCTATTGGAGTCCTGGCGCTTATTACAGGAAATACAGTACTATTCAAAAAGAGTAGGGAAACCTGAACTTTCAGTGTTTGTTTCTAGCCGGGTATTTTTTTGTTTGATAATAAAATTTGTACTTGTGCATACACCAATCATCTTTCAAGAGTGTTTACTGTACAAACAACTATGGTCAAAAGGAAGTGCAAGTGGCCATGCACTCTCAAAACATTTCATTATTATCATATTAACATTGATTGACTCCGAATTCCAATATATTTCTCAATTTTATCAATCGTAAATTAAAAATGAAGTTCCCCTACTTTTTTTTAAGAGTATATAAGCTTGGTTGGTGCATATTCCTTCCTCAGCAATCATTTTCTGGTTGTGCTGAACTCAAAGTATTTACATTAGTCTCTGCAACTTTGACACAGGTGTTTGACTGCACATTAGTATTTGGGAGTGATCTTTAAATTCAGTCTGACCTGTGAAGATCCGGGTTAAAATTGATCTACAGTAAGTGAGTAACCCATGCTTGTCGTAAGAGGCGACCAACGGGATCGGGTGGTCAGGCTCGCTGACTTGGTTGACACATATCATTGTATCCCAACTGCATAGATCGATGCTCATGCTGTTGATCACTGTATTGTCTGGTCCAGACTCGATCATTTACAGACCGCTGCCAAGTAGTTGGAATATTGCAGAGTGCAGCATAAAACTAAACTCACTCAACCATTTATTGAATCTCTTTCTTCAGCTCCAAAAGCTTTATATACCTTGAATGCTATACTCCTGATCTGCCTGTGGTTCAGTAAGTCTGTCGATTCCATGCATGTAAACATCCAGTGACTTTTGATTGGATGGTTCTGACATCTGCTTGTCAAAGGTACCCATGGTTGCAAAGCTTTGGAAATTCACCCCTTCCCTAGTCTGTAAAACCTGCAACTGAATTATTACAAAAATTGCAAATAACTTGAAGTTTCCAACAATGAAGAACTGGTTTTGGGTTAGCTATGATGGGATGTGGTGTACTCAGAGGGAACATCTGTGTTAGTATTTGTGTTCAGCAATCCATGCTTGGCGTAAGAGGCAACTAACAGCATTGGATGGTCAGGCTTGCTGACTTAATTCACACAGGTTAATTTATCCTGATTGCACAAATTGATGCTCATGCTGTTGATCATTTGTCTGATTGTCAGGTCAGGCGTGATTAATTACATAGCTGGAATATTGCTGAGTGTGTTGTTAAACATCAAACAAACAAAACATACTCCCAAACTAATGAAGCAATTCACAGTGACCTCATGGACAAACTGCAGTGAACTTATTTGTAGGCACAAATTTTCATATTGAATAATATGCATCATCAGAGACCATCGGTAATGGTCTCTGCATCATTAATTATTGCAGATTATTGACACTTTTGTCATTTACCACAACAAAAGTTGTTTTTTTTGTAACAAGGAGGCATATGATTAGAGGTGTCACTTCGTAACGAAATACATATTTTCATTGGTTGCAAGTTTTGATATGTTTCTATGCGAAATAGAAAACGTAATTTTAGGTAATGTCAGGTATTTTGGCATGACTTTTTGCATATGAATTACTCATGCAAGTATGTCCATGCAAAGAATGACATGTGGATGGGGAGGGTTGAATTTGAATCATTTGCGGTTCATGGTTGAATTTATTAGGGGCCAAATACAACCCAGAACACAAAAGATTTCTCAAATGACGCAAACAGTCAAGATGGTCGTAGCATACATACCACTTTAATCACCTATTGACTTTTTCCTAAGGTGACAGCAAGTAGTTATACTATCAACCGTTCTCACAGGAGATAATGAGTTCATCATCATAATACTTATGTTATCAGCTCATCATGACATGATCATGTGACGGCGCCCAAATGTCAGATTTGAAACTACCCACCTCATACAACTCTAAACAACATGCAAAAGATGTCAGTCATTGTTCGCCATCTATCTGAATACCCACATGTCACTGACTCTGTACCATGGTCTAACAATGGACATCGGTGCCGTTTCGGTGAAATTCTTACCTTTTATTTTGGAACCAAGTTCCTTCTCGCTAAAGTTTCCAAGGGAGGTAACTTACCAAAGCTGTTACTGAAAAGACCGCGAAATATTATTACGACTTCCATTGTCACAGCCAACTGACACATGTAAAGGAAAAGGAAAAACCGATTATTTTAAACTTGGACATGGACATATCGATAATATATTATATATGCATGAATTGTGATCAGAGTCTATGTTTTACCTCATTACCACCGGAAATATTTCTTTTGCGGCACAAGACTTCAGCGAGAACTTATCGTTTTGTGTCGTCAAAGTCGTTGCGTGGCTCAGTTACTTTCTTTGATAAGTAATGAATCCATTGACGTGAGTTTGGTTGAGGCAGAATCTATGACATAATGACACATGATTCTGTTTGTTTTCTATAATACGGATTCTAATCCAAGGGGCTTATTGTGCGGTTTTCGATCACAACGTTGTCTAGAAGTAGAATGCACTTTACCAGCGCTGTCCCGCTATATCGCGGTAATTGCTCCGTCTCCCTTCACTTGCCAGTCAACCATCCTTAGTGTTCCGATCTTTAGGGCTCTGACGCATCTTTAGAAAGAGTCAAACAACCCAGGGTTCGATCCTTAGGGTTAGGGTTAGGCACCCTTTACAATCCTTAGGGTTAGGGTTAGGCACCCTATACGAACCTTAGGGGTTAGAGTTAGCACCCTTTCCAATCCTTAGGGTTAGGGTTAGGCACCCTATACGAACCTTAGGGGTTAGAGTTAGCACCCTATCCGACCCTTTGGTGTAGGGTTAGGGTATGGCATCGTTTCCGATCCTTAGGGTTAGGATCGTTTCCGATCCTCAGGGTTCCGATCCTTAGGGTTACGTTTGGGAGAGGGGTAGAGTTCCGAAACCTTTCTGATTCCTTAGGGTTAGGGACCCTTTCCAATCCTTATTTAGGGTTAAACCTTACCTTAGGGTAGTATAACCCTTTTATATGCAATTGAAACACATTTCGATCCATCCAGTACTCGTCAGTACAGTCCAAGAAATAATGTCGCGAAAAAAAAATGAATGGGAAGGGTGTGGCACAATGGGGCGGAAGAGCGAGAAATGTAAACAAACCATTGCGCTTGTGCAGTGGTTTGTTTTCATTTCTTGCGCTTCCACCTCACTTCTGTGCAAATGACGCGTTAAAACGAGCACTCATTAACTGCGATGGTGCTCGTGGTCCCGAGGTAGACTGTCCACTAATTACGTCGCTACTTTACAAAGTCAGTAATCCGGCGAAGCACGTTCGAGTCCCAGCAGCGCTAATTAATCTGAAACGATGTGCCCAGTAAAGTGAAGTACTCCTAAAATATGTTTTGAGTACGCTGAAAATTATTGGTTGTTGTTGATTATCGCATACACGCGTGCAAAACATATCCCTAAATTATAAACGACATTGATATCATTAGTCCAGCACATAACTAGACGACTTAGTACTATACCAAGGTGTGCCCGGCGTCGATGTAGGCCTTGGCTGGAATACAAATTTATTTATATGAACTACTCTATCATAAACACAATGTCTGGGTGACTCAACCCAAAGCGTTGTAGTGAGAATAAACACTGCTGTCTGAAAACATATAATCCAGTGATATGTAACAAGGTTTGTCAGCACTATACCCGAGGTGATGAGACCGCTGACTTTTCGGACATTTCTCTCAAATCAAGGTGTCACACCACAATGTAACTGGAAAACTGTTCAGTGCCATGTGAAACACATTCACCCACATTCACCCTCACAAACAAGACAATATCACAACAATATGTAGAACTGTTATTCATTATAGTAAAATGAAAAACTTTATTTCATCCACATTTTTTAAAACTAGGGTTGGATGCATTTCATCTTTGTTGCAGAACTAATTATTCATGATATCAACTTGATATACTTTGTGGTTGTTATTTTGTTTTCTTAGAAATCATATATTTTGTGAAATTAGAATAAAGACTGATTTTTTGTCAACACTAAGTACATCCAGACAGTAAAAAAATTTAATGTAGGGTGTTTGATTGTTAGGTTAGTCATGATGAAAATACATATTTTAGTATAACATGTCTGTTTGATGTTATTTTCAGTATTCTTTTGATTGTCTGTTCACAGAAATGTCCGCAACATCCAGAAGTTGAACCAGACTGAGCTTCAACTTGGTACTGTTGGCAAGAAATCATGGCATGACCAGTATAAGGATAGTGCATGGCTCTTTATTGGTGGACTTCCCTACGAGCTCACAGAGGGAGACATAATCTGTGTCTTCTCCCAGTGAGTATAAACCATTAGTTCTTTCATAATATTACATGTTAGCTTTCTGTAATGCCTAGAAGGGACATTTAGATGTGAGTGAATATGGTTTTACGCCTCTTCTAGCAGTATTCCAGCAAAATCATGGAGAGGACAGCAAAAATTCACTGCACATCATGTAACCATTTCGTGAGTGGAACTAAGGCCATTGACATGACAAGCAAACGTTTTAAGCACAAGGCTACTCTGCCGCTCCTCATTTGAAAGTGATGGCATCAACTGGATGACTCTGAAACTTGAGAGAAATCACACTGAACTTAGCTTCAGATATGTAATAAGCAATGTGTGTGAGATGATTCAGTTCAGTCACATAGCCAGACTTCCGGATAATATTTTGATCACCTGCATACTTGCTCACATTATGTTAGTATTGACATTGGTTTTGATAGTTTTCTTTTGGTATTCAATGTATATTTACTCCATTTGGACCAGTTGGGTACTAGACGTAACGATTATTTTCTCGTCAGTGCTATTACAGATAACTTCTAAGTAGCGTATGTTCATGTCATTACCTCAGGGGTGGAAATAACCCATTGCCCGACGCCCGAGTCCAGTGTTTTTTCTGTCGGGCAAGCAAATTTGTATATCACACTGTACCGGTGTCCAGTTGATATTGCAATGTTAATTATGTTGTTTATTTAAAAAATCAACAAGAAAATGGCCGGTATAGTGGAAAAATTATCAGGGCAAGTGATTTTACATGTGCCACTGTACCGGAGTACACTAGCAATTTTAAAGTTATTTCCACCCCTGTACCTAATAACACTGATCAAAAGTAACAATATGTGAGATGTTACACATCTACTGTAGTGTTTATATATTGTGATATCTGAATTCCGTCAGTTAACTTCAACATGACACAGAAACTAATAACCTTCAAGTGTTAATATGAATTATTGTATTCAGGACTCCAGATAATTTTTCATGATCAGGAGTACGTACTCCTTATTTTTTCAATATAGGAGTACTTGAAAACAATAAGAGTACATTTAGGGTACTGAATGGAATTTAATGGAGTATCAGTAATCTTGTGTTTCGTTTCATATGTGCACCACAACATTGCTACTCTTGTGTAAACAGGTCAATAAACAATAAAGCGATTCGTTTTCAGATAAATACGTCTGTAAATTATTCTAAGACCGTACACCATTGCTGTGGTGCGTATCTGCTACGTTTTCTAAAATATTTCCTTCCATATCTAGCTTATCTTATATCCATACATACGCCAATACGGCCCTTATCTGGAGCCCTGATTGTATTTAAAAGAAGGGAAAGGGTCGCAAATTAAAAGGACAAGATGCCAAAAAAGTAGGGCAGGGCTCTGCGCTGATCAGTATATGTTCTTCTTACAGGTATGGAGAAATTGTCAACATAAACCTGGTGCGAGACAAGGGAACCGGCAAGTCCAAGGGCTATGGCTTCCTCTGTTACGAGGATCAGCGCAGCACCGTACTGGCTGTAGACAACCTCAACAGCATTAAGGTAAAGGTCAAGGTAGTTTGGCCATGTACACAACCCAACAATGTCACTGTTCAGAACGGCATGCAGGTTTTTGTTTATTTTTTCTGCCCAGCCTCAGCAATATTGCAGTTATAGGGCAGTGGCCTGTAAATAATCAACTTATAAATAGAAAATCCAGAGATTGAAATCATGAGCATCAATCCACGTATATTGGGACATTATAACATGCACCATGTCATCAAATCTGACTAACCAATCATATAAGTCTCCTGTTATGACAAACATGGGTTGCCAATTCCAGCCAGGATCTTCATGTGGCACAGAATGTAGAGCACTGGTGCCCCTATGGCCCATACTGAAAGCGAAACTCGGCACCATGGTATTGGCAGGTGTGATTCAGGTCCATCAAGAGCCCACCAGTGAAGGTCCGGGTTAGAATTGGTCTTCAGCAACCCATGCTTGTCGTAAAAGGCATCTAACAGTATCACTGACTTAGTTACTGACACGTTATCGTATCCCAGTTGTGTAGATTGATGCTCATGCTGTTGATCACATGGTCCAGACTCAATTATTTACAGATTGCCTACATGAAGCTGGAATGTTGCTGAGTGTGGTGCTAAACAACCAACCAACCAACCAATCATACTATAAATAATTACCTTATTTATGCTCTTGTGTGCTGCAGCTCCTGGGGCGTGTCATTCGTGTGGACCACGTTGAGAACTACAAGATCCCAAAAGAACATGGAGATGAGGATGAAGTCACAAAGAGGCTGAGGGAAGAGGGATGTGCCCCAAAGATCCAGCCATCATCATCATCGGAAGAGGAACCAGTTGTTGTTAAGAAAGCCAAGAAAGGTAGCCTGAATTTATTACCAAGCTATGTTCATCTGTGATGAAATTATTGAGAACAGGTAGCTTGTTGAAATTGTGATGGCAGTATATATTCTGACTGTATGGCGTACCAGGTGAAAAAGTAATTATCAAAACATGCAGTGGTAAATTATGACACACTTTGTGTCTACCATCTTTGGTAGACAAATCAAATCAAATCACAAAACATGTGTTTTAATAATAGTAATCATTAATCAAACAAACAATATGCTATGCTATTGTAAATTATTTTGTTCAGTTAAAAGATCAGATAAAGAAATCAAAGAAGAAGAAAAGAAAAGAAAAAGAAAAAGGTTGCATCAGAATCAGCTTCAAGTAGTGAGGATGAGAGGTCACATGATAGGAGTCAGCCAATCAGAACAAAGAAAGAAAAGGTTGATCCTGGGTTTGTCAAACAGGAACGACAAAGAGTCTCTCCAGTGGACAGCTTTGAAGCCGAGACAGGAGAGATGGGGATGGAGCCTTTGAGAGAGGCGGACCGAGATAGGGGTGGTGGCTTTGAAAGAGATAGGCGAGATGGAGGTGGGGGCTTTGAGAGAGACAGGCGAGATAGGGGTGGTGGCTTTGAGAGAGACGGACGAGATAGGGGTGGTGGCTTTGAGAGAAATAGGCGAGATGGAGGTGGGGGCTTTGAGAGAGACAGGCGGGATGGTGGTGAGGGCTATGAGAGAGACAGACGAGATATGGGTTTGGACTTTGGAAGAGACAGGCGAGATGGGGGTGGGGCGTTTGAAAGAGAAAGGCGAGATGGGCGTGGGGGCTTTGAAAGAGATGGGGATGGGGACTTCCATAGGGATTCTGGGTTCAGAAATGGAATGAACAGATCACAAGATAGGAGAAATGAGAGATATGATGATAGAGGAGGGATGACAGGAGAGATGATGTTTGGAGAGACAGAGAGAGGGACGACTTCAGGCAAAGAAGGGGAGATAACTCTGAGGATCGATTCCGAGGTGATCGTGACAGATACCAACAAGATGACAGGAGACGAGATGAAAGAGCATATGATGATCGAAGGAGGTGATATTCTGGATTTACCTCAAAGGAAAATACTTTTCCATCCATGCTCATAAGCTCTAAGTCTTCTGCCGCAGCTGTGCCATCTTGTTTGTGTGGACCCACGTGTCGAGAAACCACATGATCTTCAAGCACCATGGAGACTATGTGAACTTCCAAAGAGTGTGTCTGTGAGGAACTTGAGATTTCCAGCAATGTGTGTTTGTGCAGTCTGTGTTCATGTCAAACTGTGCTCCAATGCAGCTTGTGGGGGCAGTGGGGTAGCCTAGTGGTTAAAGCGTTGGCTCGTCCACTTTGCTTGAAGACCCAGGTTTGAATGCCCACATGGGTACAATGTGTGAAGCCCATTTCTGGTGTCCCCTGCCCAGTTGATGGTGCTGGAATATTGCTAAAAGCGGTAAAACCAAACTCAGTCAGTCAGCAATGCCTCTTGTGTCACCACGTGCATCTAGGTTTCAAAGAGAATTCTAATCTTAGGCAACATCTCCAGAGACTTTTCCACAAAGCAGTGGAGTCATCAACAGTCACAAGTGTGTGTTAAAACTATACGAATTCACGGTCACCTATTTGCTCCAACTGCTTTGTTGACGAGAACCAAGTGCTATAGACATATCACTGGTCGGAGACAATTGGCTGTCAACATCATAATCATACATCAAGTATGCAGATATTTTCTGTTGTTTGTGTGACGCTTGTCTCAGATACTTCATTGTAAATAATCCAGCAATCATCAATTTGGTAATAAAATACATGAAATGAAACATCAGGAAATCCTATACAGTTTGTAATGATGCTTTTCGACCGTTTCCATGATCATATTAACGGGGAAGTGTACACGAAAATCACATTTTTCCTTATGTGAAACAAAAAAATCAAATTTTTGAAATAATTAATATCAATTCTTGAAAATATACATGTACCAGGGCATGGAGTTAATCCACAGATGACATCCTTACCATACAGTCAAATCCCGATGAGTCGAATGCCGGTGTCTCGAATATTATGCATAACTCGAAGTACCTGTCGGTCCCGACCATTCCCTGTTATAGTTGTCATCATTTGAATACCGGTTACACGAATTCGACTCATAAATACACACGATGACTCGAGAAGAAAATTTGGTCCCATGAGATTCAAACAACAGCAATCTTGTATACATAAGCCGAAGTCAGTCAATGAGAAGTTGATTGGTGTAGCAAACTGATCCAATTAACAAACCAGCGCGGCTCACACCTTTCCGCCTTTGACGGGTGAGTTCAAAAGGCAGATTAGTGATTTTACGGAAATCACTGTCTGTGCTAATCAGACTGGAACTGATAAGGTGCCCCTATTAGTGATAGGGAAATCATTAGATAAACAAATGCTTAGGCGGAGGAATTAGGACTGGATCATCTTTTTTTCTACCCTCATAGACATACCTATGTCTCGAATACATCGATAAGTCGAATTTATTACTTGGTCCCCAGAGATTCGACTCATCGGGATTTGACTGTTACTTTGATTGGCACCGTGTTCCACTAGAGAGTCGGCCAGAATATTTGACTGACTGACTGAGTTTGGTTTTACTGCCAGCTTTTAGCAATATTCCAGCAATATCACGGCGGGGGACACCAGAAATGGGCAGAATATTTGAAGGTCTGAAGTGATGCAGATCTCAGATGTTTTTCACTTTATGCACCGTGACCACGGTTTCAACAATCAGGGTGAACCAGAATTGGAACCCTACCTTGGTTTCTGGAATGCCCCTGGGGCACAACACTGCACAGTGAAATTATACGACAGGGCAGCCAATGCCCAAACCAAGTTTAGAGAGGACAAGTCATTGAGTCATATTGTGAGAAATCTTCAGTATTAGAGCATGAAGACTTCAAATTACCCATCCAGACCACTCCATCCATTTAGCTGCCTCACACAACAAGCATGGGTTGTTTTGTACAACCCAGAAGTCTGATAGGTTGACGGGGCTGTGTTCAAGGGAGGTAACTCTTCTGTCACTTCCTTTTGAGGGCAACTAATTTGCCCTCCTTTCCTTAAAATGCAAATGAAGAAAGTTGTCTGTTGTTTAACATTGCACTAAGCATTTTCCTGCTATATGATGGATGTCTGTAAATATATAAATCAATTGACTGACGAGCAACGATCTATGCAGTTTTCACACTCATGTCAAATGTGGATCTTCAAGGGTTAAGGAAGGTGGTTGTTTAAAGAATATGCAAATGACAACTGACACATTCTCATGTAAAATAGATATTTATTTCTATTTAAATATAGACAGAGCAACAACCATGGGAAACAGCCATGCAGTACAGCAGTCGGTCATGTTGGAGAATGTACACATGGGGATGTTGATGTGAGAATATTTTCATCGAACATTGTTATGGACATTGGGGTTTGGGGATATAGAGATTGTCAACATTATCGTGTGGAAGTTGAACTGGTGATAACATTGGAACATTGATGACATATACATACAGACCTTGACAAAGGGACATTGACCTAGACACAGAAAGGTGTTGACATTGGTACACACAGGTCATCACAAAGACACACACTCAAGATCTCATAATACATAATATACTATTCACACTTTGCTGAGGATCAAATCATGGATTCGACAGAAAACTATGATGTGGGGTCAAATTTGGTTTAAATATCTAAGTTTATTGTAAGCATGGATCCTAGGTTTCAGTTTGTCATTTCATCTTGTGGAACACATACCTGCTATAGACAGGTGTTGTGTACTTGTCAATGACTCGTTCCATGATTTGCAAAATGGTTGATTGGTGCCATGAAAACAATTTCTATGCTTACTCATGTATCAAGTGCATAAGGTTAGATTCAAGTGACTGTTTGCCTAAAGAGCGGTTACCATATTATTATTTATCCAATTTCGAATGGATACAATTTCAAATTATACATCTACATTTAAGTAAAGTTATGAAGTTTGGTGATCCTTAGCAAAGTGTGAGTAGTATATGTTGACATGGACATGGGTATATGAGGACTGTCACATGAGGACCTGAACTCTGGATGTTGACTGAGGCACAGGTACATGACGACTGTCACAAGGAGAAATGTACATGAGGACCATCATGAGGACAAGTACACGACGTAAGGATATTAACATTGGTACAGAACCTTCACAAGAGGACACGTATGAGGACATTGAGATGAGGACATACACATTTGGATGTCTTGATGACATTCCCTGACGACCTCGACATGGGCTGCAGATTGAGATCATGGTCTTATATACTATTCACACTTTGCCGAGGATCAAATCATGCATTCAACAGAAAACTATGATGTGGGGTCAAATTTGGTTTAAATATCAAAGCTTATGTAAGCATGGTTCCTAGGTTTCAGTATGTCATTGCATCTTGCGGATCCTATACCTGCTATTGACAGGTGTTGTCTATTTGTCAGTGACTCGTACAATGATTTGGATCCATCAAAATGGTTAATTGGTGCCACGAAAACCATTTTTATGGTTACTCATGTATCCAGTGCATAAGGTTAGAATAGAGTGGCTGTCTGCCTAAAGAAGGGTTACCATATTAATATTTATCCAGTTTTAAATGGATACAATTTCATATTATAAATATACGTTTAAGTAAAGAATTATTGTGATCCTTATCAAAGTGTGAGTAGTATATATACAAGGACATGAACAGTGGGACACTGTGGTCTGCTATACCTATGGTATTAAAGTTCAGTGTACCAATATCTTACATATCATTAAAAGGTTTTCAACAGGAACATCATGACTGACTGACTGACTGAGTTTAGTTTTACGCCGCTTTTAGCAATATTCCAGCAACATCACGGCTGGGGACACCTGAAATGGGCTTCACACATTGTACCCATGTGGGGATTCGAACCCGGGTCTTCAGTGTCACAAGCGGACGCTTTAACCACTAGGCTACCCTACCACCCCAGGAACATCATGAGGTACATGACAGAGGATAGATCTATAACCAGTTTCCATCTTGAACAAGTTCCTAAGCTTTCAAGTAGAACTACAGAACTACCATGGCAAGATATTCCGACGATCTATATGGTATCATCTGGACTATTATTAGCTGACAAATTCTACTGGTCATACTCTTCCAAGAAGTGGGTTAAGTCATTGACTAATGTGTAAAATCTATTAATACCCTGCCTCATTCATGACCATAGCTTCATTTTAAGTATGATCTGAACATGCCATACATTTATGTCTAAACCTTTAAGACTGAGCATATGTCACAGTACAGCACCTTGCTTTCATGTCAATGTGAGGAATACAGTGTTCACTATTCATTCATTTGTTTTTTGAATCTGAGGGAAGTTTGCGATGTGTAAGCAGACAATGGTGACTACAGAATCAAACCAATGTTAGAAATTGGGTCTAGGTTATTTATCAAAATATGATACATTGCAAATTCAAGTACATGTATGATGAAGTAGCTTCATTGGAAAACTTTGGATTCAAACCAACAATTAATCCTGGCAGTTAAGGGGACACGACTCTACACAGCTAGTTACAGCACCACTGGGCCACTTTGGCTCATTTAACTGAAAAGAAAACTTCCTACAAAACATGAAATTATTTTTTCCGTGTCAACATTGTCTGTCTTCTGCCAACAGCTCCATATGACATTAAAATATCATTGCCAAACAGGTGAAGAACTTGAATGGAATCTTAGCGAGGATGCGTAGTTTTTTAGCTAAATGTAGTCAAGATGATAAATACAATTATGGTATACATGCAGGGTATGAAACTCCCCCAAGATTAAGCCAGACCACCGGGCTGGTTAGATGTAAAACTTGCCAGCCCTCACCAAAACTTACCTGCCCGCAAATAATTTAGGTTTGATAAGTGACGTAGTTTATCATCTAATTGGAAATCATCATTTATTTTTTACGAGTGAATTAATAATGATTTATTATTCTGAAATATCATGAATATCTTAATATACATGTCCAAATTTTAACCCAACCGGCAGGTGAATTTGAGAATCGTGTTTAAAATAACCCGTCCCGGGCAGTGGGGCAGGCAGGTATTTCGAACAGTGATATATGTTAATTTTTTCAAGCTTTTGAGATAGAGGTAAACATTGATTAAACACGTTTACGTTTGGCTGTGTCTATGTAACAAACAAAAACAAATCTATATCTAGCCAAGGCTCACTATAGAACCTCTATGCAACTGTATTGAAAAGCTCCATCCTTTCAAGCTAACACAACCTAGATCACCTGTATGTATAAAATAGCGTAAATATCAAACAAATATCATAAACATGCATGGACCAAATAAATACATGCTTCAAAGTTTGTAAACATGCAAAGTAAATAATCAACAACCAATATTTACTGATATGACAATAACTTGATAAACAAAATGTGAGATGAAGGACATATACATCTGCATCTGCCGAAATGGCTACAAGCACCGCACCAACTGGGATTCTTCATTCAATAGAACCAGGAACTGAGATTATTGTCAAAGATAAATTATTTCTGAATCTTTTAAACACATTTTGTGAGAATCGTTCTTTTCAGTATTCATTATTTCTACGTTATCTGTCACTTTATGTCACCCCTGATTATCCAGCATATCTACTATAATGGAATTGGGATATAATAATAGGCTGGATAATCAAGGGAGGTTGGGTTGGCTGGTTGGGGTGTTAATGTGGAGAAATATCATTTTTAAAGATTATGAAGGAAATGGTGTACCATGGTGTACCATGGTGTATGTTTCTGGTCAAGAGAACAATTTATTAATTTCCACACACCTGTTAATAATATTCCTGTAAAATATTCCAGTAATTAATGGTCTGATCCTGGATAGTTGATGAAAAATGGCCTTGGATTCAATTGCGAGTAGCTGAGAATACATCAAAAACACATCTCCATTCAAATTGCACCACCCAATTACACTGGACAAACAACATAATCTATTGTTGGCTTCAAATGAAAAAACCCAAACATGTTCCATATCAACTTTACATATTCCAGCCATATTTCCACTTCATAGCTTCAAAGTGACAAAATAGCTTTTGGCATGAGGCTATCTGAATATTGGGGTTAATCAAAGCTCTGAAGATGATGCATAAATTGGGAGCTACCAAAGTGATGAAGCTTTCCTACATCAAGAGTATACTCTATGATCTCACTGAGATACTATTCAAAAAAGCAGCAAACTGACCACCTCCCCTATTACAAGCCACTCGGATCTTGAAAGTGCTATCTTGACAACTTGTTCTTAACGTCATATACTTTTCTATTACTGACATATAGCCAGTACGTGTTTCTGTTGAAAGACACATGACTGCTTCTAGAACCATGAATATAGAAAAACATTACATTTTAGGCCAGTACATGAATCACACTTTTCTCCAGAGTTTCTACTAACCAATACACTGGAATTGCTAATATCAATGTGAAAATATCAGAAATATCTTTCAATCCTCAGGGTTACATTGTTTATTCTATCAATTGGGTCAAGGAAATGGATTTGGAAACTTCCAACCTTTGAGTGAGTGAGTTTAGTTTTACACGCTTTTTTTTTTTTGGCTGGGGACACCAGAAATGGACTTCACACATTGTACCCATGTGGGGTATCAAACCCAGGTCTTTAGTGTGACAAACAAACACTTTAACCACTAGACTACCTCACTGCCCCTACAACCTTCGAACCTTCTTTTGAAAACAACACATAAAACCAGTATGATCATCATAAAAACGAAAAGTTATCACATGGCATTCTGAGGTTTCAGTTTGTCTCTGAATGGTAAACAACAACTTCATTGATATGAAACTGAAACGATCATTTGTTATGTATTGAGTGACACTGATGACAAAATGACGTACACTACATAGTGTCAAGAATACATCTTCAAGCTAAAGGTTTTATCAAATCTGAGTGGCAGGGTGCTGGAGAGGGCGGACACTTCCCAGTATAGGCTTCTGGAGAGGAAGAGCTTGTACAGGAACGCCCCGGCCAGGGACTGGCTAAGCAACACCCCCATCAACACTAACTGCAATACAAAGAAGGAGTTAGGTTACTAGGACTGGCTAACAATTAGCGGTGTTCCAATCAATTGAAATAATGTCGAAGATTGGTCGCAGTGACCAAGCGACCAAGCAATCAATCACATTTTCTCATAATTGAACACAAACAATTTTGGAACTACTGTTTTAGTCTTTGAAACACTTGACGATGGAACATGTCTTCTAAGTTTTCAGGGCCTGAAAACTTGTTTTTCTTCCACTAACTAAAAAGTCATGACTGAATATTTCTTGAAAATTCCAGGAAGTTTATGTTCATGATATATTAGTCATCACTTTAAAGTAGCTAACTGCATCATGCTATACATATCTGCAATAACAACCTAGATAGGACATCTGAAAAATTACACTAACCAATTTTTTTTAGATGATTGTTTGTTGGTAATGAAGCAATCCTCAATTGTGAGATTTCAACCAATTCCCAACACTACTAACGGTATAGACAGTGTATGAAATAAGCCAAAAACCCAGCCAGACATCAGGGCTGGTAACTTCAAAATGTTACCAGCCCGAAATGGATTTAACCAGACCAGACACCAAGATATTGTGAATTTACTCAAGATGTATAGAACATCTAAATATTTTACCAGACCATTGGACTGGCTAGCTGTAAATTTAGACCACCTGTCAGAAATCTAGCCCGTCTCTTGGGCGATTCGGACGAACCTTATTTCATACACTGATAGATATCATAGAGATCAATAATCATTAACAAAGTATCAATTATCGATAAATATCTGAGCCGTAACATTGACCAAAATGAAAGAAATGAATATATTTCCCATCATTAGTGAGTGGTGACATGTTTTTTATCGATTCTTAACAAAACAGCATCCGGAACAGTTTCAAGGCAGACCATGAGTACAGTGCTAAATTTGTATATTGTGTGAGAAAATTACAACTTTCATCGATAACACAATTTTCATATTGATAATCATTAATAATTCTTCCTATCGACAATATTTCCGATTATCGTGCATTTTAGCCAGGTTACACACAATGCCTTTAGAATGTGGTCAAATGATCTCCAGACTTCAAGTGCTTTCATTCAGTAATTCTATTCTAATCAATTGATCCATTTACATTGTTCATGTGATCACAAATTGTCTACATAAACATTTTAACAACCAATCAAACGCTAACATTGGTGAAAGTGTAAGGGAGATAATTTGAAATTAGAAACCAAACACAGTCAGTTATGGTCATGACCACATATTTTCCATTAAAAATATATTTAGGGCTTCCTTTAGTGAGTCAGTCTGTTTTAAATATTGAATGTCTTGCCAACTTGTTCATAATCAATGGGACTAGCCACCACATTGAGGCAATTATCCAATCAAATTAGCAAATAGAAATCAAGGGCAGATAATTTGACATTCACGAGAACTACAAGACTTTTCGATAATTTAGCCCTAAATCTTACCTTTGATGCGGAGGTATTCCGGAAATATCCATGTTATAGTAACAGTGGCAGGATAGCACAGGAACCACAACATGCAGGCCTGAAGTAAACAGTGCAGTTTAGTGAGTCAGTGCAGTTTACATAGTGGCTTTGTAAGCTATGGGCAACAAACCTAAATTATGCAGTTCTCAAATGTTTACCACAGTGCCTCTGGTGCTGAAAAAGGGTTTTTGGTACGCCTAAGGCACACAACTCTGTTGTACAAACTGTGATCTCTTGGACAAGTACATTTTACAGAATATATATTGCTTGAACTTGGGTCTTGATTCAGTAGTCCGGACGATTCAAAATCCGGACGAATTTGCTGAGAAATGCAACCGTCCGGATTAACGAGGCTTCACTGTACATGACAGCAATGGAGCAGCAATATTTCACTGTGTCCCATGATGTAACTAAAGAGATCAATAACATCTGGGATGATCACAAGTGATCTGTTTGATTAGCATTTTTTAAGCTGATGAATAATAATGAAACACATGATGCTTTATCATGCTTTGGAATAAGTTGTCATCCAAGTATCATACCTTTCTTGGTTGGGGTTGGTTAGGATTGGTTTGGTTGGTTGTTGTTTAATGCGGCACTCAGCAATATTCCAGCTATATAATGGCGGTCTGTGAATAATCAAGTCTGGACCAGACAATCCAGTGACCAACAACATGAGCATTGTTCTACACAAGTGGCATACAATGACATGTGTGTCAACCGAGTCAGCGAGCCTGACCACCTGATTGAGTTAGTCGCATCTGAAGACAGATCTCCACGGGTCTCCTTTCTTACGAGGTGAGGTGAGGTGAAATTGGGTTTAACGTCGTGCTTGAGAATATTTCGCTCATATGATGACGTGCATGCGTGTGTATGTGTATGTGCGGCTGCTTGTACTAGCCCAGACTGAAGCTGGTATTATAGTCCTAGCTCACTGAGATACCATGCCGCAGTGAAGCATGAATACCCCACTCAGACACATTATACTGACTCCAAGCCAACCAGTCCTTGTTGTACCCATTAATGCCGATCGCCAGGCAGGGACCAACAAGTACCATATTTTAACGTCTTTTGGTATGACGCGGTCAGGGATCGAAACCCGCGACCTTCCGCTCTCCGGGCGGACGCTCTAACCACTACACCACGGAGGCGGTCGCCTTTCTTACGATATACAAAGTTATGAATGATAATGAACTGTTGTGTGGAAACATACCATACTAAACATGACAACAAGACACCAAAGAAAAATATCACACACATACCAAAAATGTTTCTTGTAAACAACTAGATCAAAACTTACTTTTGTAAAAGAACTATAAAATTCACGCTTTAATGAACTTCTCTCAGCTTTAATGGTTGTGTAGAGATTCCATCCAAACATGCCGGCCAACAGGATGCGGAGCACCACCAGGGCTGTCCCCGCCCGACTCCTGTGGGCGTGGTACGTCCGTGTGTAGCTGTCATTGTACTGCTCCCACAGAAACAAACCTCCCTGAAAAAACAGAAGCGGCATAGTACATAAGTAGGGCTGTGTATTGCCAAATAAACTGTATTGCAATACATCGCCATTGTGGTACCCACACTCTAAAACATAATGTGAGTGTTGGGAGTGTTTGACAGTGAGTGACATTGATTGTACATGCAGAGCCTATTTTCTACACGCTAAAGCCCTAAAAATAAATGTTATGGTTGTGATAATAGAACTCACAAATGTAGATTTGATTTCGTGGGATTGTGTAGATTTGTCTGTGGGAGCTGTGCCTATTTACACATCAGAGGGGTACACAAAGTCCACAGCCTAGACTACCAGTTGTCTGACTTCCATTTCAGTGGAAGCCCCGGTGGCTGAATGGGTTAGGCGTCTGACTTTGTGTGTTGGAGATTAGGTGCCTTACTGTGAGGGTGTGGGTTCAAATCCCATATGGGTCTCAACCCAATAAAAGGACTAGCATCTGTTTTTCACTGACAAAGTATCATCCCAAATATAAAAAAGTTCTACATTTGACCACTTCCTAAATGGCATTGTGTGTTCATAGTTTTCAGCTGTGGGAGCCGTGCCAATTTACACTTATCAGTGGGGTACACAAAGTCTGTGGTCCAGACTACCAGCTATGAGAATTTAAAATTGTGGCAGCTGCAGTGGCTGAATGGGTTAGGAAGACTGCATAATGTTACAATCAAAATCCATCAGTCCCTTAGTCACATGTCAGTTTTACAGTTTTTGTGTTTTTCATTCTTTAAAGCCTTTACTCAGGAATTCTGATTTTCAGAAACCAAATGCACAGAGAACATTCATATAACATCAACAATACACAGCGTTGAGTGTAGATGCCATAACTTTCAGAAATGGTGTGTAAAATAGCCATAATTTCATTAGCACAGCCTTTATTGTACTCCATTCAGAACTGCCAGTTCATGTTTCTTTTCAAGACACAGAAATCAGGTATGCTGTTCTGAATGCTTTGCTTGCTCTTCCCAAGAGTGCAGAAGCTAAAAAACAGCCTCATGAGAAAGTTCCCCTGAGGCAATCTCTTATTGTGAGTTTGTCAGTTTTTGACTCAGAGAGGTACCATATCTGAGTATGGCTGACCACGGTCTTTCAAATTATTTTAATTGCAATGTTGGAACCCGAGAAGGATGTATAGTAAGCCCACAGATATTCATAATCTTCATTAATCAGCTTATTACAAGAATAGAAGAAACCGGTGGAAGAGGCATATTCTTAAGAACTGACTCTCCGGATATTGTTGGCCTCATGTATGCAGATGATGTTTCAGCTGTTTCAGATTCTGCCAATCAGTTACAGAAAAAAATAAATGTAGTTGAAGAATTTTGTGATGCCACAGGAATGAAGTTAAACCTGAACAAGACAAAGATAATTGTTTTCAGGAAAGGAGGCCCTCTCAGAAACTATGAAAAGTGGTATTTCAAAGGTCAACAAATCAAAACTGTAAATGTTTATAAATATCTTGGAACATTGTTCACGCCGAAATTATCATGGACAAAAACTCAGCTATGCCAAGCAGCACAAGCCACTAAAGCTCTATTTTCACTCAACAGATTTCAGCAAACTTGTGGATATTTAGACTTAAAGGAACTGTTTAGAATATTTGATAGTATGATAACTCCTATATTATGCTATGGTGCGGAAATATGGGGATCTAACTACATGTATTGTAAAGTCATTGAACAGGTTCAACTCAAATTCTGTAGAAAATATCTGAGGCTGAACAAGAACACTAATAACAACATGGTCCTGGGTGAGTGTGGCAGACCCCACTGCAGTATTACTACATGTGTAGAGCAGTCAGCTACTGGTGCAGGCTTATTCATATGGAGAGTACCAGACAACCACAGCAAGCATATCTCATGCTCAAGTCCTTGGATGATTGTGGGAAGATGACATGGGCTACTCACATCAGGGCTCTACTCTTTCAATATGGATTTGGCTTTGTGTGGATAAGCCAGTACATTTGGGATACAAAAGCTTTTATATATAGTTTTAAACAAAGATTACAAGACTGTCTGACTCAGAACTGGCACTTATCTCTTTCAGAATCTTCCAAATGCAATTATTACTCACAGCACAAGTCACTACTGAATGCTGAAAAATATCTGCTTTCACCTGAAATACCATTATACTATAAAATAGCCATTGCAAGATTTAGATGCAACAACTTCAGACTAGCCATAGAAACTGGGCGACACTCCAATACCCCACGTGAAGAAAGACTGTGCACCTATTGCTATACTAATAATATATCTCTTATTGAGGATGAATATCATGTAATGATGGTCTGTGACAAGTACAGCCAAGAACGACAACTCTGCTTCCCTCATAACAGCTATCCACCGACACTCAACCACTTCATAAACCTGATGTCTACCGAAAACATAAAGACTATTAAACAAATCGGAAAATATCTCAGTAATGTCTTAAAGCTACACAATTAACACCGCATTATTAATATTTTTCAATGTAACTGTTATTATGCATGCATAAATCTTTACCCAAACTCTTATGTATGTTGTATGGGCCTGAGGCCTTAAAAATTGAATAAATTCTGTCTGTCTGTCTGTCTGTCTGTCTGTCTGTCTATGGCTGATACTAGTGAGACTTCCAATTTATCTGACAACTCGACATACCTGCAGGACAGCCAGAACAGCGACGACCTTGGCAGCGGGTTTACGACTGATGGCCTTGAGATGGGAGTAACGGCAGTGAGTGCTGGCCAGCGTCCACCCCAGGGACAGACTTAACAGCATATACAGCATAGCGAACTGAGACAACACATCGAAGACTGAAACACAAACATGTTGTTATCATGTCAGAAACATGTCATCCTCCTGTTGCAAACATGATCAGTTCAGCAGAACAACTATTGTATCGATACAGCTGCGATAATGAATCATTACATTTCTCAATTAAGAAATACACTTCGCTCTACCACCATGTATAGTGTAATAAAACACACTTTTGCCCTGAACTATTATAGTTAAAGCACGAGGACGCTTGCGAACTGTATTTCTTTTCTAAGATGCCAAATTTAATACTTTCTAAGGATAATTACGATTAATTTAAGGCAGAAAACAAACGACGGTGTCTGTGACCTAAATTAAGAATCCTCGCACAGGGCTAACTGGCGCGCTGTTCTATTGATGTGTCTGCCCCCTACGTTAAGACGAACGTTACCAGAAAAAAACAAATGATAACAGTTTGATGACGGTTTACGTTCGGATTAAATATCTTCTCTGAATTATTTTAATTACATCTGTTATTAACATAAACCATATGGGGCAATATGAACGTTGCATTTCTACTACCAACGTAAGTTTAGATCAGTACATCCAGAGGAAGTTGGGTAGTCAAGCGACATTCCACGATTGCATTGTGGGAATGTAAACATTGCGAACGTTACCGGGGCGCTGAAAACTTGTGAGTCGAAATGATACATTTTAACCGTCGTAAAACATAAACGTAATGTTTCCACCAGTGATGTTAGCTGCGTGAAGCAGCAGCAAACCAAGAAACTGGATGCAACGGTGTAGTTTAATGTAGGAGGCCGTACGAGGCGATGACAACTGACATGCATCGTGACGTCGCTTACATTGTGACGTAATGTAAAATGGTTCGATTACGAGGGGGCACACTAGAATGGCGCAGTGACGGGATAACGTCATTCTATTGTTACGTCATCAAAAAACTATACCATTATTGTCTGATAATGTATTTTTTTTTTCGATTGTTCTAACCGCTAGGCATCTTAGAATGCTGGTTACAAAATCTAGGTTTGAGTCATGACTCTTGTTTCTATACAAGAGCATCCTGTAAGATTTGCAACATTTTTTATTGCGAAACAATGCTTTGTCAAGACACAGCCCGTGATTTGACCATAGTATGTTAACTCTCGTTGGTGTATTCCTAACAGTTGTAAGATATTAACCGTTAGATCAGTTAGTACACCATGGTATGGAATAAATGAAATGAAGTGGAACACAAATTGTCAACTCACATTCTGACAGAAGCTCCATGAATGGTGAGCCAGTCCCATCATGGTGATATCTGACAACACACAAAAAAACAACAGATTACCAAAATGTCTGCTCAAGGACACTGCTAAAAATAACGGACATTTTCAGTTTCAGAAATCAAACATCAGCTAAACAGAACTTGATTCTGGTGGCAAAGCATTCAGAGACAACATGGGGAATAAACACATCCAACCACATAATGATGCTGTCCTCATTCTTTCCATTTGGAACTGGCCAATTACATTTATTAATGTAAGATGAATGCTTTGTTCATGTGGATAGGCATTCTCTTCCCACAAAGGTTACTTGTCATATCTTCCTACGAACCTCTGTTCTAATACGGCCATATTTCCCAGTTCTCGTAAAATCCCCTATCGGCCAAAAATCGCAACACCAATTATCTCCCTTCTTTCTATCCAATCAGAAAATGTGTAACATCGACTTAGCTCCAACCTGACTAATACAAGCAAATGTGGGGCCACAAATATATAAAATGGAGACGCCATTGATCCGCCATTACATCACTGAGTTCTGTCAAGAAGAAACGTTTGCGCATCGCACAGGTGAAGAGGTTCTAGTTTTCCAGAAGCATACGGAAATTACCGAGGCCTTGCTAATGATCACTTTTGAAACAATGTCGCTGATTGCACAACTAAATCTGATTGCAACCAATCACGAATCCTGAACACTCGCACCATGAAAGGGCCGTATTAGAACAGAGGTTCGTAGGAAGATATGACAAGTAACCTCTGCAGGAAGAGAATGGTGGATAGTGAATATTGAAAGTTCAAGGCAGAGGATGAAGACTGTATGCAGGATGCTTATGACTCACCTTGAGAGATGCAGTGTCATGAGAAATGACCCAACCGTCTGAAGACATATAGACACTGTGAGTAGTTGTATGACTAGTTGCATCGGCCCACCTTTAGTTAACGTGGACCAAAGTCGAGGGGCAAAAATACAGGCCAGAACGAAGTATGCTAGTGTCAACAACTGGTAAAACCGCAGCAGCCCTGAACAGAAATATAGTAAACTATAACATGCAGACCTCCAGATAAGCTGTGTATTTAAAGCATGTACAAACAAATCAACATTATCCAAACACGTCTGAATTGCTTGCACACAAATATGTATGAAAAGATTAAAACAAAAGTACAATGATACCAAGAGTAATTACTCATTGTATCTGTTTCTGACTGTGTTCGTTTCTGACTGGGTGTTTCTGACTGTATCTGTTTCTGACTGTGTCGTTTCTGACTGGCTGTTTCTGACAGTGTCATGTCTGACTGTGTCTGTTTCTGACTATTTCGGTGCCTGTTTCTGACTGTGTTGGTTTCTGACTGTGTCATTCCTGAATGTCTGTTTCTGACTGTAATCTTATTATGACTGTTTCTGACAGTGTCTGTTTCTGGCGGTGTCTGTTTCTGGCAGTGTCTGTTTCTGATTAGAAGCTGTATACCACTAATATGTTGTATTGCTGAGTTGAGGGCCTCCTTGACAAGAAGGGCATTTATGTTAATAACGTTATCATATAGCAGTTACGTAAGTTTCATTAAAAAACCATGCTGTGCTTTCCATACACATCTTTAATGTCCAGTTATCTCCCCTGTGATATACAAAACTTGGAATGCAACACGAAATGTGAGTAAGTCCATTTCTGAAACACGACAGGTAGTTCTAACAGTTCTTTTGTAGAACTACATCCAATATTTCAAATGACTGTGATGGAAGGCGTCAGAATCAAGGTATTAATGGGTGAAATTTAGGTTTCTCACACATACCTGTCTCTTCATCACCGAAATGTTCTGTTGGATTTCCCAGCGAGTCCGGATTCAGCAGCTGCATTTCAAACTGTATGAAGTTGGGCTGCTCCACAAGTGGGGGGGCGCCCTGGTTGGCAGGTGTAGCTGTCGGCGTAGATGATGTGCCAGATGCGGGGGCGAATGGAGTGAGCGACGGTGAAGTTGCCGGATGTTGTATTCAACTCGTCTGAAATAGAAGAGGATGGAGTGTGTCTTGGGTGGATTGAGGTCAGGAGGAATGGGGTAAACATTATTGCACTTGCTGTGGTTATATAACAATATGAGTGCATGCAGCTGGTGAGTTGGGAATAGACCTTTAATATTGCTATAATGAATAACTAAACTGACAAGCAATGTTCCCAACTGCCCTTTTGTGACTAACATCCCGTTTAAGTACAACAATCCACCAGCTGCCCTGGGAAATTATCTCCACAATTGGCTGATAATATTTGTTTAGTTCACGACTTAGCCTATCACTACTTCTTTCATATTTCATTTGGGTCAAGCATTTGTGCCTAAGCAGGCAATAAAGACGTGAAATCTGAAGTTTTTTTAAGTTCACTGTCCTTGTCAGTGTTAAAATGTGGTACTTGTTGATCCCTGCCTGGTGCTCAGCATCAATGAGTACAACAAGGACTGTCAGGCTCGGAGTCAGTATAATGTGTCTGAGTGGGGTATTCATGATTCACTGCAACATATTATCTCAGTGGGCTAGCACTATAAAACCAGCGTAAGTCTATGCAAGTACAAACCCGTGAAGGTCCGGGTTAGAATGTACCTACAGCAACCCATGCTTGTCGTAAGAGGCGACTAACAGGATCGGATGGTCAGGCTCGCTGGCTTGGTTGACACATGTCATAGGTTCCCAATTGCACAAATCCATGCTCATGCTGTTGATCACTGGATTGTCTGGTCCAGATTCGATTATTTACAGTGTCATAACTTCTGAAAACTTCAAAGCCCAGACAGACCAGTTTTCAAGGTGACATAATTCACAGGCCAAAGTGAGTGAGTGGAGTTTTATGCTGGTTTTAGCAATATTCCAGCAATATAATGACGGAGGACATCAGAAATGGGCTTCACACATTGTACCCATGTGGGAATCGAACCCAGGTCTTCGGCGTGATGAGCAAACACTTAAACCACTGGGCTAACCCATCGCCCCCACAGGTCAGAATTCCGCTCCTTGAGCACATCATAAAACTGTGATCTCCATGTCTATTTTTGTCATCACCATTTCCATGCTAAAGGGTTCTACTGAAGTGGTAAACACCCGAAGACCTGCCTCAATTTGCTCTGCTCTAATATTAAGTCGACACGCTGTAATGTAACTGGAATAGTGGCTACAGCAGCGTTAAAGCCGACCCGCTGTCACATCACTAAAACCTTCACAGCATCTGTATTATACTCACGCCAGAGCCGAGCTTTGCCCAGTCTCCGTTTACAGTCAAGGTCTTCCACGGCATCGTACCAGTCATCGCTGATGTACATGTACAGAGTAGGAGGAGCATTACTGGTCGTGTTCGTCTTGAATGTGACCAGAGCATTACCTGGAGAACATAAACCAATCAGTTTAGATGCCATCCTGCAAACTCAAACACTGTTATGATGGAAAGACACTAATTTAATACTTTTTATGTCAACTAGTATTTAGTTGGTTGGTTGTTGTTTAACGCCACACTCAGCAATATTCCAGCTATATGGCAGCGGTCCAGACAATCCAGTGATCAACAGCATGAGCATCCATCTAGGCGACTGGGACACGATGACATAGGTCAACCAAGTCAGCGAGCCTGACCACCCGATCCTGTCAGTCGCCTCTTACGACAAGCATGGGTTGCTGAAGACTCATTCTAATTGAGTGTGACATTAAACAACAACAACCAACAGGAGCATGTAACAATGACATGGTACATTCTAGTTCAGTTTGTCTAATTTCTTCTAGCTGTTCCCCTAGATTTTAACGATAAAGAAAAATTTCTTTGAGTGGCATTTTTAGAAGTTGAATATGTCTCCCAGTATGTTAAGATACAATTAAAGAAACATGTTCAAACTCATCCTTATCAGATGAGGAATATATATTCAGGTGATATAATTTTTGACAAGAATGAAATTCAAGGGAGGATACGGGCGGAAGTCTTTCCATTGAAACTTCTATAAATGGAAAATTTAATCTCATGAATCTGTGATGGGTTCAGTGGCCCATTCAGGAGTTACATGTGGACACACTTTGTATACATATCACACGTACTTGTGCGATCATACTTCATGTTTATTTACCCCAATTTAAGTATGATAAGATGGTAAACAGAGATCCACTCATTTGTCAAATGAGTTACTTTGCTCACAAAATCATAGTAAATATACAGTGGTTAGGTTCCGCCCATAACCCCTGCTTGAAATGTATTTTATTAATAAGGATTATTTCGAGGGTTTAGGGTTAGGTTTAGGGTTAGGTATAGGCTGTTTATAAAAAATAAACATATGGGTGTATATTCTTAATCATATAATGGTTAAAAAAATACGGGGGTTACGGGCAGAAATCTTTCTTATACAGTTAGTCATGATGTTTAAAGAATGTCTAGACACACAGGCGGTATTGGTGATATCCAAAAACTGTCGTTCACAACAAAACACATCCATATACCCTCAACCATTACTTTTCATTTCAGCTAAAATACGAATCCTGGTAATAAACATCACTTCGGAAACAAAACATGCGCCTTAACGAGTATGTCTGCATATCATCACTAATTGAATATCAGAGGAAAACATTACCATGGAAACAGAATGTAGTTATGTATTGTCCAACTTCTGATTTGGCTACGAGAGTGCTGAAGACTCCCTTCACAGTTTTGGCAGTTAGAACGTGAACCTTCACACATGTCAGAATAAAAAGGCATGAAACATAATTAAAGTTCATCATATAATTTGATTAAGGCTCTGTGATGTTGTTATGTCAGTTACTTCCACCAAAGTCACGCTAAAAAGTTTCATCTGTGACGTTTACTTATTGCGTTCAAGTTTGGTGTTGACATCTTGCATCTTACGTGTGAGATGTCGTAAATGACACGTGCATCGATTTTCTTAGTTGCGGACTGTAAATGTCAGCCTTCAATATATTAATGGATAAGTTATGTTCCTGTAATTGCTGTACTCATTGTAGTCACAAAGCTTCTGATTTGCTCAAAACCATATGTCACAAATAATGAAAAGCAGTCGTAACAAAACCCATGTGCGGCAATATCCAGGGAGACAACTCTGTCACATTTTGTTTGGAGGCCTGTTAAGGGTTGCATAAAGGGTTAGATATAAGTATTATCAGAGACCATATAATAGACCCTCTATTATATGGTCTCTGGTATTATGAAAAGACCTGCACAATACCTGATGGTATGTTATTCTCGTGTTACTGGTTTTCGGACACTTAAGGACATCCGTTGTTGTCAGGATTAACGCATGTACAATTGTAAAATATGTCACTAACTCAATATGATAACATTCTCCAAAGAACAAACCATCGTTCAAGAATAAACAATCTTGTTTGACACAATAGCCCGAGAAAACACTGATAGAACCGTTCATAATTAATATAGCTGGGGGCTGATGATGATGTTTATGGAGAAGCATGTTCAATGTGAATGACCTCCCATGTTGAATTATTTGATATCGTCAAGGTGTAAAAATGACAAAAGAAGTTATATATCAGACAAAACTTGATGTTTATCACACATCCACAAATCAATTTGTTAACAAATAACAAGACATATATATGTAGATTCTTTCTTCATGTACAAGTACTTTTGTACTATTTACTACTACATGACATCCATGTAGATCAGTTACATCAAGTCAGAGGCCCAGATAAGCTGCGTATCCGGGTAAAATACGCATATAAAATTTCCAATTACGTATTGAAAAATAATTGTTGCGTACCAATTACGCATTTAAAATGTTAGATACGCAAAAAGTTTAAAACAAATGCGTACGGAATACATTTATAAAAATCGCCTGCGTAATGAAAAAGACATCGATTGCTATCAAGTTGTACTGTTAGTATAGGACAAGTGCTATACTGTCCATTTAGGATGAGGGATTTTTTATGAACTCATTTCCATTATATTTAAGTTGGTTTTGATTAGGTATGGCATAGTCATAAGGCAGAACATACCTGCTTAGTAAACTTACTCAGTCACATAATACTTAGGTGAGTAAAATGACTGAAATACGCACATGCTTGAAAGCAGTTGGTAACGGAAAAGAAATACCCACTCAACATTCATAATACGCACTCCAAAAAAATACAGTGGGTACAGTACCCACACGAGCTAAATCTTATCTGGAGCTCTGATCAAGTCAGAAACAGCTCATTCCACTGGTCCAGTCAGCTGGGGACACAAGCGGAGAAGCTCCACAGGGCTCAGCTTACCGTCCTTGTACAGACCCCAAACATCTCAGAGTACAGGGGTGTGTGTGTGTGTGTGTGTGTGTGTGTGTTTGTCAAAACATCTCAAAATATGAAATAAGTAGCAATCTCAAAGTATCAATTAAGAAAGCATTTCTAGAACAATACTCATATATATGCAAAAATAATAATGTATGGCCATTTTGACTTTTTCTATGGTCATTTTGACTTTTTGGTATGGCCATTTTGACTAGGGGTTGTGGGCCTGTGGCCATTTTGACTTTTGACCCCACCCCTCCAACCTCCCCAGAACAAAATGGGCGACCCCCATCATTAAACACACTCATTACGTCCGAAAACGAAATATGTCCGAAAATTTGTAAGCAGACGATAATATTGTGGGTTTATTTCATTGATATGTATACAGACACAATCACCTGTATGTCACACAGCCCCACCCTAAGCTTAAACCTGGAAGATTTGCGACGCTTTGTTTTTCAAATCCACTGAAGATGAGATGAGATAATTTGTCTTACATCAAGTGGTTCATACATGTAAAAGGTATCACCAATACAATACAATACAATAACATACAAACGTCAAAATACCATATATGAGGGTATATCACTCAGGACTTGTATGCTTTGGGAGACGGTGTTTTCGTAGGCTGAACCAGTTCGTAGACGCGGTGGATTCGTAACCAGTTCGTAGACGCGGTGGATTCGTAGCCCAAACTGGTTCGTAGACGGTGATTTCGGAGACGTGTATAAATAATTGAATAATATTATTTTGTAAACATATTAATTTTGATAATCACTTCTGGTCTGGTCCAGTCTAGTCTACGAATTCACCTACAGCCTGTGCGTTTACATTGCACACGGTCAAGTCCCTAACAGGGCCCCAACACGAAAAAGCAACGCGAACGAGAACTCTTCTCTCAGAGAGACGTAAATGTACCTCTTCCTGTTTGAACATTTCCATCCAAAGTCAACCGAGTGATGTATTTTTGGAATATTTTATGCAATTTTTAACACAAAATACGTCCAGGTGTCTTTTTCGCCTATGAACAATGGACGATACGCTAGCAGTAGATTCCATAACAATGTCTCTTCCGTGCGAACTCCTGAGAGGCTGTTTAAAGTCTTCAGGAGAGATAGAGGAATGGGAGGGACATTCTATTGATGGAACAGACAAAATGTATATTAGAACTAACATGAAGACTCAGGACAACACAATCACTTTTACCATGAGTGGTATAAGCGTTATCTATGCCAAACGTTCTATCAGGTTCGCCATTAGTGAAGCAAAAAAGGTAGAATGTTTTTCTGAAGGACTGGGGAAAAAGCAAAAAGACGTTGAAAAATGCACAGAATTGATGAAAGACGGTCATGAAGTTGACGATGGTAAACTTAACAATGAAATTATACTTAAAACCGAAAGTGTCTCATCTGAACAGGGCACAGATGACTTGACGTGTCCAACTGAAAATATGCACAAGAATCTTCCTTCAAGCTCAGGTCATGACAGTCAGGTAACAATGACACCCCTAAACCTTCCAGAAATAGAAGCAGAAAAACCTAAGCCAAAGAAAAGAGGAAGGAAACCAAAGAGAAAGATTTCAGAAGTTGTGAATGAAGAGAAAGGGAATTCCATCATCTTACCAGGTTTTCAACACCCTCATGAAACTGAATTAGGAAAGAAAAGATATGGTTTAAGAGGTGTTAAACTTTCTTCGGCTGTTATGGAAGCTGTTCGTGGAAAGATAAACATTGAAGACGAAGATGATGATGATGATCTGGAAGAAGAGGATGATTCTGAAGATTATGTTGCGTTCAAGGGAGACAACTCAGAGGCAACAGTTGTTGAAAATATTCAGGGTGATTCCTTAGACCTCGCCCATGAAACAAAAAATGGTGAGGTCCAGACTGTTGATGGGACAGAACAGGCCTCAGATGTTGAAAATAGTAAACTAAAATGTCAAACTCCAAGACATTTGATCTACAGACAAAAGAAAAAGTCAAACCTTCGTGGATCCTTGAAAATGCTTAAGAAATTCAAAGATTCCTGTTTAGCTAAAGAGAAAAGTGTTGAGAGAAAGAAAATCCTTGCTGCAATGGGAAATGTATATTCTAAGGAACGCCGAAAAAGGAATGTGCAAAAAACAGCTGTGTGCAAATACTGTGGAAAACGATTTTGTGATTTCACTGGTGTTGATACTCACGTTAAAAAATTCCACATGAATGAAAAAGATATTGAGGAATACTTACAAGAACTTGTACCACTGAAACAAGTTACTTGCTCCACCTGCAATGTGACATTTGCCAATCGTTCCCAGTTCCAGATTCACGAGGACAGGGAGCATTCCCAGACAATGTCGCAGTGTACAATTTGTGGTAAAGTATTTAAGAATCTCCAGTTTCTCCGGAACCACATCCGAATGATACATCTGAATGATGAAAGTCATTTATGTCATCTATGTTCATCCGTGTTCAAGCAAGCCATCACACTGAAACAACACATCGAAGAAGTTCATGAACAGAAACGTAACGTGACTTGTAAAGAATGTGGGAAAATGTTCTACCGACAAGCCCAGTTGAACCGACATTCTCGGATACATGATATTAATGGTAAGAAGATAGTTTGTCAAGTGTGCGGAAAACAATTCAACTTCGAATGCAATTTTCAAAGACATGTGCGAGTGGTCCATGCTCCTAGAACTGAAAAGTTCCACTGTTCCTATTGTGGCAAGGGATTTAACCAGAAAGGTACAATGCATGCACATGTGCTTAAGATTCATTTCAATTTGTACCCATTTACATGTTCAATATGTCAAGTGAAATTCATGCGTTCCAAGCAGCTCGAAGAACACATGGCCCATGTACATAACGATGTCGATTTCAAAGTTGTAAATCCAAGAGAGAAGTCTTGCAAATACAACAAGCCAAATGAGGAGTTATTTAGTTGCCCATATTGTCAGGATTGTTTTTGTTACAAAGCTCAGCTTGTGGAACATGTGCAGACATCTCATTCTAACATATTTCCTTACCAGTGTGAATATTGCAAACATGGATTTTTTGAGAAGGTATTTCTTGCTCGACATCTGGCAAAGGCACATGATATGGTACCGGAAACTAGTGATCTGCAGCTTGTTGAAGTACATTCAACTGACAAACAAATGACTGTTATTCCTGTCAATCAAGCAGTTAACGTGATTGATATTGACAAGAAAAGTTCTGACATCAACAATGATTTACAGGATGCTGTTCTCACGGTCGTTCCATCAGAGCATGGTAACATTGAAATTGATGCTGTCTCTCAAGAGGAAGACATTTCAACAGCCGCCTCGGTGTTAGTGGAGATTTCAAATGAAGACAACACTATACATTACGTGATTCAGGGTGGCGAGAACATTGATATGGAGTCATCTAATGCTGTTGTGCATGACATTGCCAGTCTACTGTTGGCAGCTGAGCAATCCTTGCAAGAAAACTCAGGCTCTGTTACTTTGACAACTGTTGACGGTTCTAATGCTGTTGCTATGGAAACAAGCAATGCTATGGATGCAGAAACTCCTAGTGTTATTACCATTACAAACAGTGCCAACGAGGAGATGGGATTGGATGCTCCTGAGGATGCTTGTAAGCAAGTTGAAATGGACAACAATATGGGAGAAATTACTGTTATTATGAAGGAGTGAATGTAACCACTGGTGACTGTTGTCATGGTGACAGTTTGCAAGAATGCTAAGACTTTCATACAGTGTTAGTTCATTTGTAGATCATGATTTTACACTGATACTAATGTTAGAAGTAGTATTTATTCTCAACCTTTTGCTAATTTAAGTTTTGTCTCTGGGAACCAATGGCAGTGGGGTAGCCTAGTGGTTAAAGCGTTGGCTCGTCATGCCGAAGACCCGGGTTCGATTCCCACATGGGTTCAAAGTGTGAAGCCTATTTCTGGTGTCCCCTGCCACGTTATTGCTAGAATTATGCTAAAAGCAGCATAAAACTAAACTCACTCACCCATTCACTCAGGGAACCAAAAGACTCTGTCTTGAAAGAGCTCGCATGTAATTATGTTAAGAAGCATATATGCGTCAGTATTTCTTATACTCTTTTGTCAGTGATATGATCTATGACTTGCAGCATTTAGAACTGTTCGTATGGGTTACTTCAGCTGAAGGAGTCGGTGTCAGTACAGGTACTACAGATATGTACCCTAGGTACGTTTCTGTGTACAGAAATATACCCTAGACAAAGTTAACATACAGAACGTACCTGGTAGCTTAAACGACAGACAAGTCCATATTTTACAGCCCAAAGCCGAAAACATATGTAGTTTTCTGTCAGCTGATTGCATCGTGAATCATTTGTTACAGTGTATGTTTCATATGAAACACAATCGAATGCATTTGAATTTAATATGACAGTTCTGATCAAGAAAACAGCACAATTCGTAATGGAATAGTCCTTAGGTACATGTCTATATTCTGTCTTTGGCTAGGCTATGTTTCTGTAATATATAGAAACATACTTTGGGTACATGTCTGTAAAACCCTTATGCTCTTGATCCCTGGATTGTCTGGTCCAGACTCGTTTATTTACAGACCGCCACCATATAGCTGAAATATTGCTATATGGTGTTGCATAAAACTAAACTCACTCACTCACTCACGCACTGTAAAACCCATGCTGACAAAGACCCCTTCAGCGTTACTTCAGGAATCTTTGGAAGAGCTTAGCATATGTCAAATACTCTATTAATGAGTCCTTTTGACTATGCAATACTCTGGCATGTTGTCCTCATGTATAAAAACATATGCAACTTTATTTAGCATTAAACACTGATACATTATCAAACATTTTGTCTTCATTTCAGAAAGTTGCTCCTGGAGGAATAGTTGACAAGTCTGCTCCAAGACATCGGAACATTTTGAAATATTAATACCTATGTGGATTAAGCTAATGGTTCAAGGGGCGGTGGGGTAGCCGAGAGGTTAAAGTGTTCGCTTGTCATGCCGAACACCCGGATTCGATTCCCTACACGGGTACAATGTGTGAAGCCCATTTCTGGTGTCCCCTGCTGTGATATTGCTTGCTTGCTTGCTTGCTTGCTTGCTTGCTTCCTTCCTCTCCTCCACTCACTCACTCACTCACTCACTCACTTTAAAAAAACAACGAAATCCTTTTCATGATCAACAGAAATCTTAAATGAATGTCAACTGTAAGGTTCCGAGTGTACTTTGAGGAAACGGAATGCTGGCTTCTTTTTCTATGTGGGGCGTCGGAATAGCCTAGTAGTTAAAGGGTTCGCTCCTCACACTGAAGATCCGGGTTTAATTCTCCATATGAGTACAATGAATGAAGCCAATTTTTTGTGTCCCCCCGCCATGATATTGCTGAAATATTGCTAAAAGCCACGTAAATCTATACTCACTCACTGTTTTTCTATTATTTTCGACTGTAAAGCGACTTGACTGTCAGTATCATCTCATTGAACAACAAAGTTGTGCGACTTTGATGGCCTTGCTGCTGGTAAAGAACTTTGATGTTTACAATTAGGACCATGGCGGTTCAGTTACAAACTGCCAGGAACTATCACAATAAGATGAGCAGGGGTGGCCAAGTCACTTGGTTTCTTTTGTATATTGGATGGTGTTTTTTTGTGTTAGAAAACCATAAATCTGTGATCATGGTTTCCAATCATAACTTCACCCTGACCCTGTTTCTGTTTTTGTCAGCTCTATACTCATACGTATGACGTCATATTAGACATAAAATCTAGGCCTCCTTCGGATCCCTACTATAAGCAGTGTGCAAAAGAGCCACTGGCCCGCTAGCCCGGATCTAGTAAAAATCCAATCGGGCCAGTAAATCTCCTCAGTCTCTGGCCCGACTGGCTGGTGAATTTTCATGGGGTCATTTTGTAACTATATCACTCTCTCCGACTTTTTAAGTTAGATAATACACTTTTAAATCATGCAAGATTATCATATTAGCAGCTTACCTTTGTGTAATCTTTTGCTTAGTTTGTACATTAAAATTTCAGGCTAGTGAATTATTTTTGTGGGCGAGTAGCTTTCAGGCATAACTAGCCCGAGTGGCTAGCAAATTTTGGAAACTATTTCGCACAATGATTATAAGAAGCTCAAGCTTCATTCTTTTAAGTGTTCATCTTGTTCAGCTTGACCTGATCAAGTGAATACTAATTAATTTCATGACCGTGTCACAGCTGGTTGGGTCTATTATTGTGAAGGGGTGCACCTTTGTCAGTTGATTGTCAACATGTCTGAACAGCCGAGACAAGGTCGCCGTTTCACATCTCAGTGTCGTGAAATTGTCAGCAATATCCTAACTTTCTTTAAAAATGAAGCTACAAACATATTGCAGTTGAACATGAAATAGAAAAAGTGATAATTGAACTAGGTGTAGAGAGTGATAGCGCGAGTGAATCGGATTGTGAAAGTAACTGACGTCTGTAACAGGGCCGTAGGTAGACCGGGGGTGCAGGGGGGCAGTTGCCCCCCTACAAATGTTTTTACAGAATATTTTTTGTACATAAAAGTATTGATATAACACTCTTTTGAGTGTCATATCTCTCTCTCAAAAAATACAAGATAATAATAATAATAAGTTGTATCATATATCTATCCGCCGACTACGAACTCATAGAGCAATAATCATCCAGTGTATGTAAAGTAATAATAATAATAATAATAATGTGTCCATTTATATAGCGCCAAACTCCACACCAGGTATGCTCATAGCGCTAACAATCAAAAAGGCATTATTGAAGTCCATAGAACGTTTTGTAAAGAAAGGTTTTGAGATGACACTTAAAGTTTTCAAGGGTTTGAGACAGCTTAAGTTCATCAGGGACGGAATTCCATTTGACTGATGCCATGTTCTGGTAAGACTTGCAGCCAAGTGATTTGAGGTTCCACTTTGGTACACAGAGCGGATTAGCCGAGGATGAACGCAGAGTTCTTGTTGGCATGTAAAGAGAGAGGAGTTCTTGAAGATACACAGGTGCAATACCATGAATGGGCTGATAAGCAAGTGTAAGGATCTTATAGTCAATGCGAGCTTCAATAGGCAGCCAGTGAAGAGACAACAGGATGGGAGTGATGTGGCAGTGTTTTGGTTGGAGAGTAACTATGCGGGCAACTGTGTTCTGGATTCGTTGGAGCTTTTGGATGGACTCTTGCGAAGCTGCAACCAACAAGCTGTTGCATTAGTCAAGTCGTGAGAGAATCAGTGTTCTCACCAGGGCAGCCGCAGCATCCTGTGACAGGAGATGTCTGATCTGTCCAATGTTCCCTAGATGGAAGTAACATTTTCTGCACAGTTCCAGAATCTGTATCTTCATGGATAGGTCAGGTTGGAGTAGGACGCCAAGATTTCTGACATGTAGAGAAGGCTGAATGACCATGTTTCCAACTTTCAACTCAACATATTTTGATTTTACTAACATGTTTCTTGTGCCAACAATCATAACCTCTGTCTTGTATTCATTTAATTTTAGTTTGTTATTGAACATCCACGAACCAATATGGTCAATGGCATCTTCAATTCTGGTCAAGTCAGAACTGTTGTCACAGCCCCAAGTAATACCATCAAACAATTGAGTATCGTCAGCATAAAGATGATGATTAGTAGCTTTCTCACAAAGCAGATCACCAAGTTCTTTGGTATACATAGAGAACAATACAGGACCGAGAACCGATCCCTGTGGTACACCGCCGACTGAGCATTACGATGCAAATAGCTCACAAAAATATTGAAAATTAATCAAGTTGTATTTGGACCAATATCAATGTCCCAATGCGCTAATAACAAGGTATTTATATACAAACCTGCTTTGAGTTAACTGCAAAGTAAGGTTTTGCTACAGGAGACAGAAACAAACATTTTAAAAATAATGACATATTACCTGAGCTGTAACAAATTTACTTTGGGGGTTATTATACTGTTTATGCTTGATGTATGTTGGGCAGGTTTGTACCATTATCCAACCATACTGACAATAACAATTTCTAATTAAGTTTAAGAGAAGTATGGCGGTGGCAGCATTTGCACCCCGTTATTGAGAATGAGTGATATACCCTCACCGCAGCCCCGAAATCAACACCTCAATTAATGACACAAAGATTGCGGGCAGCCAATTTGCGAGATGATCGGTACCAGAATGATACACCTCATTACATATGATTACAATAACCATTAATAAATAAATGAAGGGATCCAGGGCAATGACATAGACTACCCGGGACCCTATGAACTGAAGGGTAACCTCCCATTACCCCTACATGCCACTACCCCTACAGCTTATAACAACATAGTTTATGGTCTGTTGCATAACTAATCTCCTGCCTGTTACCTATTCCATACAGTGGACTGGTCCACTTAAGATGCACAACATGACACAAGACAGATTTTAAAAGTGACTTTAATACATGTGTTATCACAAAGTACCACATCATTGAGATCAATTGTCAAGTTTTTCAGTCTATTTACATTCAGTGTTTTCATATCATCATATAAGGATGAACAAAAGATCACATTATCACAAGTGTTTCATATCAACATATATGGCTATCCTCTGGTGGGTGATTGTGTTCAGTCGTATTTCTTACCACATCGCCAACAGTTGTGACTCTTCCTTTGCATGTTGACTGCACACACTTCCAGTGTACACAGGTCTGTCGCTCAACATTCTTAGTGTGAAGATATCCATCCAACAGAACTTGACGGCTACCTCTCCGTGACATAACAAACTCAACATTGCGAAGACCAGCCATGTTGATGCCATGTTTGTTTCATGTCAGCACTTATATACTGTATGGAACAATCTCAATTTCCTGTATCATCTCCACGTTTTATTTCTCTCAACTTCTCAACATTGTAATATATGTAACATTAAAGTGCACTATAACAACTTTTCTTAACAACATTTAGCAATCACAACACTTTTCCAATTGTATGTTTCTTCTACTCAGGGTTGAGGTTTGTTTTCATCATGAGACCACTAATTTCCTTGCCACAAAAGACTAATCACATTTATGCATCCCTTGATCTCATCTATGCTCCATGCACTAATCCCTCTTTAGGATTAGTCTATTATATCAGACAGGTAAATGCTAGGTGTTGTTTTAACTAGCTGTAGGGGTACTGGAGTGTAGGGGTAGTGGCATGTAGGGGTTATGGGTGTGAACCAACTGAAGGCATATTGTGCAATACCTAACGACAATTAACGAACAAAAGACATAATTAGAAGAAGGCGTGCATTCAATCCACACGACTCCAGGATACGTTAGACTCCGGACAGGATAGACAAAATAGAGAATAACATACAAAACAATGAATACACAATCAAACATTGATTGGTGAAAAATTTAAATAAATAGTATTATATAAACTATCGACTTTGTTTTAATTTTGGAACTATGAACAGAATGAACCTTTGCTATATCATGAACCATTCCCTCATCTCCATGATCATGTGGTAACTTGATCTAACAAGGTTCATGACTACCAGTCGGCAGCGTGGGTGGTGAAAGGTCTTTCGATCTCCTCTCTTCGAGACACCAGCTGTGGACACGTGCAACAATGAGCACAGAGCATCTCACTGCGCACCTTTGATTCCAAGTCCATGCATCATCTACTCTAGGAAGACACGCTGGAGGAATTTCAAATACAGCTAAAAGTGTTCAGTCATTTTATATTCCCTTGGAACTTTAAATGGGTTTATTTCATGGTTGATCATAGATGAAACAATCTTTCTGGCTGACGTATCTTGTTAAGTTGTAACGAGTAAACTGAGTGAGTGAGTAATATTGAACAAACCTGAAAATA